ATTCTTATCAACCAACCGTGTGCAGTCCAATGAACTTTGCATCTCTGTTTGTGGACGTCCTTTCTTTCTGATTAGTGCTGCCCAAGTACGTCAAACTCATGCACGTGCAATCATCCTCCAGATAAACGCTCTCATTGGCAGTGAATCACTGCCACCACAACCTAAATCTCCCTTTTGAATAAGCCGAGTTTTGTTGACCAGTGATCACAATGAGCGAGGGTCATTGCGAATGTAACAACAGTGATCACGATCGCATCGTTGAATTGTCATCAAGGATATGATAGTACTACTGCAATCAAGTTGACGCATACCCTTGCTTAAGACAGGAAATGCTATAGTACTGACCGGTCAGTTGTCGTACACGTGCACTGTTCCATCCGCTAGCGTCAATTCACCCTGACCGTTTAACGCGACATGGTTGTTCTCCCACTGCCCCACAAAGCTCTCGCCATTAGCGAAAAAACCAGAACCTGTTCCGTGTCGCTTACCATGCACCCACATGCCATCGTACAGGTCACCTCCAGCGTATTTGCAAATTCCGCGACCGTGAGGTCGACCTCCCACACATTCGCCAGTAAATTTACTGCCGTCTGGGAACGTGATGGTCCACTCGCCGTCCATGGGCTCGTCGCGACACCACTGACCTTCCTTGATAACTCCCGAGCTTCCGATCGTGAGTACACCTGGTCCTTCGCGACATCCACGATGCCATTGGCCCACATAGCGATCATCCTGAGTCGACGTGAAGGTTCCCTCGCCTTCCTGAAGATCATCTTTCCACTGTCCCGAGTACCTTGAACCATCAGAAAACACTGCATCACCTAAGCCCTCACGACAGCCATCACGCCACTCGCCTGAGTACTGTTGTGTCAGGTGATGAACAGTAGAATCCGACGGTAGGTCTACAGGAGCGATCAGCTTGCCAACGCCATGTTTCTTGCCCTGAACGAACTCGCCTTCATAGATATTTCCCTCTGCGTCTGTGTACTTCCCTGTACCATGAAAGACATTCGCTCTCCACTGTCCACTATACGTCTCTCGTCCACCACTAATCACGCAGTGCCCGTAACCACAGCGTTCGTCATTCTCCCAAACACCATCGTAAATAAAATCTTTGGAGCCCGACGTCAATATTCCGCTACCATGACGTAAATCTCGCTGCCATTGTCCGTCATAAGTACTTCCTGTTGCACGTTCAGTGAATATACCAAAGCCGTCTCGATATCCGTCTTTAAATTCTCCTTCGTATTCGTCTCCATTCGGGTAAACATGTCGATGTGTTCCACTCATCGGATGTTCCCTTTCACTTTCATTATAAGCTGACGGGCGCTTTGGTGACGAAGGAGGTGTGTTTGGTGACAGTGAAACATCTACAAACCGTGACGGAGACCGCACAGACTTCACAAATACACTGTGTTGCCATTCTCCCTCAAGTATCGCTCCATCCGGGTTAACACAAACCCCTCGACCTTCTCGAAGGCCGTCTACCCACTCGCCAGTGTATGCTGTGCCATTGGCGAATTTACATGTTCCTTTACCCCATGGTCGTCCACGACGACATGAGCCTGAATACTTGTCACCGTTGGCGAATGTGATAAGCCATTCACCATCACTGACCTCAACTCCACGTTTCCAAGCCCCCTCGCGAGTCGTACCTGAGGGTTTAGAGAAAGACACACCTTGGCCATGACGTAAGCCCTGCCACCATTGGCCTTCATATCGATCTCCTGATGCCAGTACAAGCACGCCGTTTCCGTGACGCTTTCCTCGATTAAAGGCGCCGGAATACTCTGATCCATCCTTGTACTTGCACGAACCGATACCATGAAACTTCCCCTCCATCCATTCGCCTACATACTGGACCACATCTGCCATTTCTCCGGGCCTAGACTTCGTCAGATTAGCTACGGTTAATTTACCAGCTCCATGTCTAACACCATCGCACCACTCTCCGTCGTACACGTCACCTTCGCTGTTAACGTACACACCTCGACCGTGGAAGCGATTAGCGCGCCACAGGCCAGTATAACTCTCTCCACCACCTGCACCTCCACCTCCCCGTCGTGTACTGTGTCCTTGTCCACAGCGCATGTCATGCACCCATTCGCCATCGTAAATGTATCCTCCACTCGCTTTAGAAGTCAACATTCCTCTACCATGTCGCTCGTCATTAAGCCACGCTCCATCGTACTGATTTCCTGTTGAACGTTCGATATACACACCATATCCTTCACGTTTACCTTCGACAAAGTCGCCTTCGTACTCGTCACCATTCGGATAGGTATAAACTGCGCGACCTTCATTAGGTGGCGGTCTTCGTATTCGAGAACGACCACTAGAATCATTTCTGGTAAGTCTCCGCTGACGCGGCTCTTGGTCTATCCACTTGGTATAGTTGCTTGTAGTTTGCCACGACAGTGTCCAACTCCAGCCATAATCAGCGCAAAATCTTGAGCGTGGGTTGGGAGGTTCCTCTTCATCCGCGTATACTAAACTTCCCAGTACCGGAGCCGCTATTTCCTCAAGCATCGAACGGAACGAAGCTGGAAACAAGTCACCAATGGCAGAGCTTTCCTCCGTATCTCCGTCAATTTCATTCTCAGTTTCTGCGTGGAGATTGGCTGCCACTTCAGCGTCTAGTAGTTCCTCGAAATACGAACGACATTGAGCCAAAACCCACTCATTGTCGCGAGTACGTTGGCCTGCAATCGGCAAATGAATGGGAGCTACTGGATCAGTAAATCGTCGCGTCAATCCATCAGCCAATGCCGATGTCTTCGTACCGAACGCGAAAGCGCGTTCACTTGTGGCTGTCGGGTGTGCCGTCACCTCTCCAGCATCCAAATTCAACACGAGATCAAGCTGCGCGCTCTCACTCTTCAGCAATAACGGGTTATTTGTTCCCAGCAAGAATCCTCCAGTCCACTTAAACACCTCCCTTCCTTGTCTTAAATCGCAGCAAGGTTGTACAGTAAATACCTCTTTATTCTCTTGCAGCAGCGAATGTGTTAGTTGCGACGGTAACATCGCCAGGAGAGCCATCACCGCTGCTGACGCCGCACATGCGCTAGCCGAGTAGCACACCACTCTCCCTTGGATCAGCAACGCATGCAGCGTCGCCACCACGTCACTGCCTCCAAGTCGTCGAACCATCGCCGCATTCGGCAGCAATCCACTCTCTATCACTGTCTGCTTTTGTAGCGTCTTGTAGAACTGCTCAATCTCCTCGAAGTTTTTGTCTTCCTTTTCCTCAGCGAAGACTTTGACTGCCACCGCTCTTAACTGAGCGCGTAACCCTCCGAAAATCTCTAGCTTCTGCGACGTAATAGGCGTCAGCAGCATCAAGAGCCGCTGTTCTTTGCTGTTCCTGGTTTTAGTATCTTCAACAGCGATTCCTAGAGTTTGATGTTTGATGTTTTCACCCTTTGGCACACAGAAGAACACACCGGCACCTTTAGCATCGGCGTCGGCTGCCTGCATCTCTCGACTGAAGAGTTCTTCGTCCTCCTGGTCGTTTAAAGTATCATCGACTTCGTCTTCGAGTTCGAAGCATAATCCAGCGTCTATTGAGGTGACGGATAAGTCAATTGATGATGCTAAAACGCGGCCATAGTGTAGTAGCTGCTGTTCGCTTAGTATCGACGCCTCAGAGTCCAGTGGAGGGACAGAAAACTCGACGGATGAGGTCTGCGCTGCATTTTCGGCGTTTTGAGAGCGAGTTGTGGACGAAGATTGAGAGGACACACACACGACGCATAGCGAGAGAAGTTGAGGCTGCCAAGTACCCGGGAGGTAGCTACTGGAACGAGTAGGGGGCTGTGGACGAGCACTGATCGAACCTTGATCCTTGGTCATGGTTTGTGAGTGTTAATATGTGATATAGATACGATGGATGGAGATTTTGGGATTTTGTGCACTTCAACATCTCAATTTTTAGTCCGAAAAGGCAACTTCCACGAGCTCCGGAAGGTGCTGCATGCTGCTTGTTCACTTTCTGCTGTTGGTTCTACAGTAAAGACAATGATGCAGCAAGACGAAGAGGACGGCGTGCCCTTCGACATGTTCAGTTGCGGTAGCGACTTCAGCCGAGAATACTACGCGTCGATGCACACTCCACCAACGCGTTCCCAACCTCGTAGCGATGCTCTACCACCGCCTAGCAACTGGACGGTACTGTCATCTCTGCGTCATACAGCCATCCTCGGAGAGCAGAAAGTGAAGATGCCGCTACTGATCCGCGTCCGTGACGCAAGAGTACTGGCTGGAGCTGCTGCGTTCGTGGCTGCACTGATGCTGCTCGTTGGGGTCTTCACGGAAGGAGTACCAGTGGGTTCTCGCGACTCGGTGGCGTCGATCGACGAGCTTAACAAATATAATTTTTATACCGGTACAATTGCAGCGACGCTGGCCAAGCCGTTCGAGATGGCACTCGCGTTCTTCGTTCCAGTGTTGAATTTGGCGCTCTCGCCTCGGAACAGCTTACAGAACGACTCGATGGGCTGGAGAACCCTACAGTTCTGTACACAAGGCACTCTGGTAGCGCTGCTGACTGGAGCTTTCAGTACTCTTAACGTACAGCAACTGGATCCAGAATTGATGCCTGTGATCATCGCTTCCGACTTGTCGTCATCGTTTTCGACGGGATCGACTGTAACCAGCAGCGATGTTGCATTTTCGCTACGACCAACAGCTGACACACTACTGCGTAGTGCAATGCTCCCGGTGTATGTCAATACAACCGAGAGTGTTTGCCAGGGCCGTGGAGGCTGGCCGAACATTGCTACGACCTACGCTTTCTTCGCCAACGACTGGCTGGTGAATCTGCTCCCGGACGGTCGAGAGACCGAGTTCACGTTGCATACGAACGTCGGTGACATTGCCTCCGATTCAATCACCGACGGCAAAAATGAAGCTACCATCAACGGATTCAATGCTACCCTATCGGGTAACCTGCTGCTGTACGCGATGTTCTTCTCACAGACGCTACTGGCGTGGAACGGGCTCTCGTACCTCGAGAATAACTCGCTAGCTCAATTCCAAGAAGAGGTAATAATCTGGCGAGCATTGGAAGCTGTTACCGAGGTCGACTTCCAACTAGCTGCAAGTGCCATGCTGCAGACGACACTCAAGGAGCAGTCCACGCGTCTCGGGTTGGCGTTTGACACCGTTGCAGCTTCCTTCAACACGTCACACGTAAAGTTGTCGGAAGACATTGAATTTGACACCGTCACGATTGAGATCCCTTTCGACGAGCATGCTATTGCGGACAACAGATCACCAACGAGCTCAAACTCGTCTCTTCTCTACAAGCTTAACTCCATTACCGAGTGCGGCGAGACGGCGTGTTTGATCCCGCCACCTAGAGACTCATTCTCGCCCACTGAGACGTTGGGGGATACTGCCTACACACAATGGAACGTTGAGCCCCAGATCCAGGCCTTCGCAGCCTGCATCTTCGAGGACGGTACCGAATTCATGACAGTAGACTACCTACACGGCGCTAGCTGCACTCGCCGATCCTCGACGTCGTTCTTAATCTACAGTTTTGGGCGTCGGGTGGTCGCCAACGACGTGACAGTCGACGCGTCGAGTTCCTCGCGCGTTGTGGAGGTGACGAACATACAGCGCTACCACACGATTACACTCGGCCGGCTGTCCTGGCACACGAAAGATCTGGCCAACGACTTCAATGCCGCCTGTGGCAACAGCACGTGCATGGGGATCAGCTTTCTGCTTGATAATGCTTCATCTTTGGCTTCCGCGCGATACCTGGTCGTCGGTGAAGAACACCTCCCTGTTGACTCGTTAGGCGATTTCGATGGACTGTACTCGCGGTGGACCCCACTGGCAATGGTAACGACACCAAACGACATGCAAGGCGATCTATTATTCCCACGGAATGTCCGTAATGGTCTCAATTGGGACCTCGACGGACAATGCTCGACCAGCGTGGACGTGTTCGCCACACAGGTGGAGCAGAACCACTGGTACATGAGTTACGGACTGCAAGAGGCGTACACAGCGGCGCTCTTCCTGCTCTTCCAGAACGCTGTCGTTCGAGAGGAACAGCAGAGCGTCGACGGATCTCGAACGCTCAACTTCGATGGAAGCATTACGCACGTGACACTGGAAGCACGGATTCCATTTCCGTCCGCTCTGATTTCCATTGTTGGCAGTGTCATCGTACTAGCAGGAGCTCTATGCATCGCCGTCGCTGGCCGACGTAAGGAAGGCACGATCCAGCGAGATCTGGGCGTGGAAGAGATCGCGAAGGTGCTGCTCGTGGATCATCGCTTTCCAAGGCTCTTTTTGGATTGCACACTGGACGACCCAGACGCTCGTGTGCGCCGTCCGCTCCATACTTTCCACATAAGTGCGCTCGTGTTGCACCATGAACCACAGCCTAGCAGTAACAATGATGCAGGTGTATTCATCCAGTACCCACCTCTCACGTGAATCTATTGCCCAGCGATGGGAACTTGGTCATGGTTCCCCTTAGCTTCAGCATGTAACATAAAGCAACACGAACGTAACAGACTCAAGAGATCTACAAGAATCGCTCCGTTGTCTAGGAAAACCACAGATGAAGTGGCGTTAACAACAAGGCCAAAGCCATCGCAGTTCATGTCACCTTGTGTGTTGCAAAGGACAACACATAACGCCATGTTGGTCGATGCGATTACGCGCGCAGTTGACAAAGACAACGACACGACGCCATTCGGTGGCGCGTCAAGTGGGCAAATCTCCACCGGCATGCCGTGCTTACGCAGCGTCACTCACAGGCTCGGCGTCCATGCTTGGAGTCGATGGTATGCTTTGGTGGCACCGTCTGGCGCTTTGAGTCAATCGAGTTGCACCTTTCAGCCACAGGCAGAGGCGACGCTAAAGGTATCGACAATGTATAACGAAGATATTCGAACGCTTGGGGCTCCGCCCGTCAGAGTGTCGAACTTCCATCTCACTAAGGCACATCAAGTTGACTTGGCAATTTGGCAGTCCACCCTCATTCAGATTCGAACAATTAGAGTGCACTAACCCATTGCATACAGTTTGCAAGTATAACAACTGGCCCGATTTCGTACTTATTCGAATATCTCTCTTTTTCCCGCAGGTCAGGACAGTAGAGAATAGGCCGGCCACAGGTGAGGAGCTACACCACACGCGCTCCTTGCTGCCATGTCCAGCAGCGGCGACGCCATCACGAGCGAGGACTATGGCAACGTGGCGCTTTTGTACGCGAAGCTGGTGGCGCAGGTCTTGTCCACGCTCATGAGCGCCTTCGTGGGCACGCGCCACATTCTGCAAGTCGTGGCGTTAAAGAAGGAGATTCGCGCCAGACGTCAACTACAGACGCCCATGCTAGCGGCAGCCGACCACCGACGACGCTATCCGGGGCGCAATTGCGATTCAGCCCCTCCCACAGTCCTGAATCTCTCGGACGGCATCCCTCTTTCGAGTCAACAGAGCGGCCATACGAGTGGCACACAGTCGAATGCATCCGACGACTACAGACGCAATCGCCAGGCCTCGTTCCTGGTGAGGGAAAGGGAGAACGCGCTCTACGCGCCCATAGGCGGACCAGACCTTACGACCAACGAGAGCGACGACGATCGACCGCGAGTCTCCGTAGCCTCGAGAATCCTCCGCGTCATGTGTATCACAGACTTTATCTTCTCTTTATCGGGTGCCGTCGTGACGGCCGTGGAGCTCTGGGCTCCCGCTGCTGGCAGCAGTTTCCAGCTCACGTTCTGGGCTCAAGCGCCACACTGGTGCTCCCAAGTCGCCAGCTTCTGCTGGGTCGCTACGTTGGCGTTATACATCGCCAAGCACAGGAACCGCGCGAGTTTCGACGTAGCAATCGCCCACGCGATTATCTGGATGGTTGTCGTATTCTATTGGGTTTTGGAGCTCTATTCGAGTTACTACGAGACCAAAGGCTTCGTGAATGCCGCTAAAATCATCTGGAAAGTCATGGCTGTCTGCTGCTTCCTTATTATCACCTTCTGTTGGTTAAATTTCGCGAGACGGTGGAGGAAACAGGAGCGACGCAAAGGCGCTTACGTCGTGTCCAAGCTGGCGTCCTATACTCTGGCGTTTTTCGTGTTCGTGGGGCCCATTGTGGTCACCGACTTGGCTCTAGGACTCCACAGTTCAGGCGAAGTTATGGACACATGTTCGGTGATTCTAGCCATGTGGCCTTTTGTAAATGCAGTCATTTACCTCACCAAACCCACACTGTGTCTCAAGCTCTTCCAGTCCAAGCCAAGTCGAGGTCAACGTGGACAATACGACTCAGCCGACGGACAAGGGAACGGCCTTAACAGACTAGGAAGTCGACGGTTTATGAGTGCCGGGAATGGCTCAGCAGGTACAGCAAATGGAATAACAGGCGGGAATTCAGGCGATACAGGGCAGAAACTACTGATGTCGCCGTCCCATCATGAGCTTAAGGGCTTAGAAATCGGCGATAAGATCGGCGAAGGTGTCGCTGTGGTTTACCTTGGGAAATGGCGTGGAGCTAACGTCGCGGTGAAGATGAAAGCCGTGCTGGCAGCGCTGGAGAGTGCAGCAGATATCGCCGAGTTCCAACACGCCTGTAATGTCGAGATCCAGGCTGAAGCTGAAGTTATGCGAGGCTTGTGCCATCCAAACATCGTGCTGTTCATGGAAGCTGGCTTCTATCGTGGATCGATCTGTATTATTTCAGAGTATTGCGCGCGTGGATCACTGCGTGATGTACTGAAACAACAGACACCGGACGTTAAGAACCTGAATTGGCCGACCAAACTGCGTCTGGCGCTGGGAATCTCGCATGGAATTCAGTATTTGCATAACGCCAACCCGCCAATGATCCACCGAGACTTGAAGTCTCCGAACGTACTGGTGGACGACTCGTGGCACGCCAAGATCGCGGATTTCGGTACACTTCGCTTCTCAGAGATTGTGTCATCGGCAGCACAACTTCAGTCGTCGCAGATTAAACCCAGGAGTTCTGCAAAAGTGCCTGTGGTTGAGATGACAGGACTGGTGGGTACTACGCGCTGGATGGCACCGGAAGTGATGCGAGGCGAACGAATCTATACCAGTAAAGTGGATATCTACAGTCTCGCGCTGATCTTGTGGGAACTAATTGAAGGGAAGCTGCCGTTTGAGAACACGCGATGGAACCACGAGGTCGAGGACTTTGTGCTAAAAGGCGTTCGTCCCAACATCCGTGCGGATTTGTGTCCACTGCGTTGGAAACTACTGATCGTGACGTGCTGGCAAGCCGATCCACGCGAAAGACCCACGATCCAGCAGGTTATTAACAGTCTGCAGCGAATTGGACGCGAGGAAGTGTGGGATCCCACAGGTCCGCGGTTCACAGGAGTTAGTCAGCTGGGTACATCCATGTCTTCTTCGATGTCGCAGTCAATGTCGTCGTCGTATCTCGAGTCTCCGCCTGCTGGACCTATTGGACGTAACTTCAGTCGGCATCCTGCTGCATTGGATGAGAATCATGCAAGTGAATCGGACTCTGATGCGGAGAGCTTTGCAGAGGAGTTCTCGTACGTTCCAACGCTCGATTCCCTGGCATCTCCAGCCATTCTGGGGGCATCGGACGCTAGTTCGAAGAGCTCCAAGAGATCACGTTCGAGGTCGCGTCATGGCTCCATGGAGACGTCTGCTAGCAGTCGATTGAGCTGTGTAAGCACAACTAGCAGCACTGTAAGTATGGGCGTCAACGACAGTGGATACTTTGGTTCAAGCGGCCATGGCATGGAACCAAGCGCGAGTTCTATCAGTGTTGGTACTCTCCATGGCAGTACGAGTTCGTCCATCAGTGGTCGCTCAGTGGGGAGCTCACGGACGCCCAAGATCAAGAAGAAGCGTCCAGAGTGGCGACGTCGTACCGACACGATCCAGGAAACGCAGCCGACGGATCTTCTCAACGCTCCGCCACACACGTTTGTCGAGTCTTCGCCGAATGGAACTCCATTCATCGTCAATATTTAAATATCCGGATCAGGGTGGATGTAAGGTATGAGGCTAGTAGCTCACCGTGTTTTGTTGCTGTTTTACAATGTGGTGCTTTCAGTATTCACCGGTGTTTAACCCCTACGTGTTTTGCTTTTATTTCTTTTTCTTCTTGCCACCTCCTTTCTTGCCTTTCTTCTTGCCTTCAGCTTTACGAGCGCGATTGAGTCGTTGAAAAAGGTCTCCTGGAAGTGACGCGTCCACCATGAAAGACTGAAGCTTCGTGTTCTCCTGGCAAAGTTAAGTTTAAAACAAATACTCTCAGTAGTGACTTAGGACATACCGGTGCAAGAGCTGGTAGTAGGACGTTAGCACCGTCGGGTTCGATCAAGTTGAAGGTGAAATCCACGTGTGCCAGAGCTTTGCTTCGAATTAGAGCGTCGCGGAAGGCCGTGAGCGCCTCGATATTCTGTAAGATATAATGTCAGCGAAGATGTCATAGTAGTGTATGCGCTACGTACATTTCGGATGCCGTTGTCCGACAAGTTTAGTGTGACGAGTCTCTGGGAGCGCGCGAGTCCAAGTGAAAGGTGATGCAGACCTTCGCCTTCAATGTTGTTGCCGTTTAATGATAACACCTCGATTGCGCACATTGGCAAACTTATGAGTTGTGCAAGTTTGATACAGCCATTCGGGCCGACATCGCAGTAATCGAGGTGGAGTTGCTTGTCGACGTGAAGGTAAGAATTCTATCATAAATCCACTAAACACGTTGTTTTTACCTTTAATGCTGAGTTATTGAAGAGCCCGTCGACAAGTACGTTTATGCCTGCATCGCCGATTTCAAGATTGTAGTCGAGGTTGAGAGTTAACACACCGGGTGCTCGTTGTAGTGATAACACGTCGGCCAGCGCCTTGCATCCTTGCTCTCCGATGCCGCAATCCAATAGCTCGAGATACGCTATATTAACGTCCGAAGCAGCTTGCAACAGACTTGCCTGCTATTTGTTAGTGATAGGGTGAGGTGTACATAATCTACGCAGACGTACAATTGCAGCGGCACCTTCGTTCCCGATCTCTTGCTTCCAGATACGAATGTATCGGAGCTGAGTGTATGGTCCATTGCTGAACCCTGGACCAACGCCGTGAACATGATACCGTCAAGGAAAAGCTCACTCAGAAATACGATACAAACATCGACCACATGGTACTAGCTAGGTGTAGTGGAAAGGATATCATAATTGCCAGTATTAATGCACGAACGCCGCCTGGACCAAGCGTACCCACGTTTTCGCCTTCAAGAATGAGCTGTAACAAGTAAAAATTACCAGATTATCTACCGGAATTTAGCAATTCATTGGCACTCACGTTCACAAGATCTCCATCTTCCTCCTTGCCGCGGAAAATCTCGTTCACGTGTGGGTTCACCAGAACGCCAATAGCTCTACACACGTCAGTTAGCAACGTTTGGCCATTCCACATCACCAATTCAGAAATATTGGTAGCCTCTCACTTGCAGGCTTTGCCGTAGTTGGCCGCAACAATCTGCCGCGTCACGAGATTCTCGTCCACGACTGCCGTCTTTGGTTTGGGCTTGGCCTTCTTGCTCATTTTGCAACGATCAAGTGCACATGAAGCGACGCCAACGACAGTGTAAAAGTAGCCATGCCCAACGTCAAGCAAAGATGTTACTTGACTAGTTACGTGACTTGCGACTATCGATTTCCATTACGGCTACCCAGATTTAAGGCCCATCAACCCGCAAAACAACCACTATCCATTTTCACAGGTCAATCTATCTTTCTTCAATCCAACCTACATAACATCATCTTGCGCTATTACACAGTCTATAGTTCTACCGCAGGATATCTTGTTTTTACCCTTGTTGAAGCTCATTGTTCGATAAACCTGGTACCCGAGTCGTCACCTCCGTCCTCATGGGGTCTCCTGACGGCTGGACACCCGAGACTCCGGTCATCATCGCCGCTAACCGCCTACCCGTCCGCCTCTCCAGGACGTCCGACGGCCAGTGGCGCGTCGAATGGGCCGGAGACCGCATGATCGAGTCGCAGAATACTCTATCTCACTACGAGATCTCGGAGCGCGCCACCATCAAGTTCGTAGGCCGCGTAGTCGACGTGGACGTGCCATTCGAAGAGCGTCAACAGGTCGAAATATTACTACGCGAAATCAACTGCTTTCCGGTGTTTCTCGAGCCTCAGGAAGCCAAATTGTACTACGAAGACTACTGCAAACAAACACTCTGGCCAACATTCCACAACGTCGTGGACGTCTACAGTCCCGTGGACGTGGTACTAGATGTCCAAGCCCAGCAACACTTAGCACCCAGCGCCCAATTCTGGAATCCTAATTGGCAGAAAGTGGCGTGGCAAGCGTATGCCAATGTGAACCAATTGTTCGCACACAAAATTTGTGAACTCTACGAACAGGGCGACGTCGTGTGGGTACAGGATTACCACTTGCTGTTGACACCGAGCTATATTGTACGGAAACTGAGAGCTGCCAATGTGGGACTGTTCCTACACGTGCCTTTCCCGTCCTCTGAGGTGTTCAGGACGCTGTCGATGAGGAAGGAACTGCTGCGAGGCATGCTAAATGCCGACCATATTGGCTTCCACTTGTTCGAGTATGCAAGGCACTTCATGTCGGCCTGTCGACGGATCTTGGGGCTGAGTTACGAGCCCATCTTGAGAGGACAATTGGGTATCGACTATGGAGGACGTCGAGTGGCTGTCACCTGCAGTCACATGGCTATTGATGTACAGAGGATCGAGGAGACTTTGGTCAGTGCTGATGTACGGGATATGGTGGTGAATTTACGTCAGAAATACCGGGACAAGAAGATTTTCGCTGGCTGTGATACGATCGAGAGACTCAAAGGTATCCCATCCAAGATGCTGGCGTTTGACGGGTTTCTTTCGAGATGTCCGGACTTTATCGGGAAGGCTGTACTGGTGCAGAAAGGAATTCACAGACGAGGTCGAGTGACGGATTATGTGCAGAGCAAGAAGGAGATTGAGCAGGCCGTGCAGACGATTAATAACAAGTATCGAGACGTGGCGAAGGGGAATGTGGTCGACTATGAAGAAGTGGATGAGTTCCCATACAAAAAGCGTGTGGCTCTGTGGCGTGTTGCTGATGTGCAGATCACTACAGTACTACGAGACGGACTCAACACAACGCCGTTCGAGTATATTGCCACTCACAAGTATGATGATAGAGTATGTCTAGCCATTGTTTGTTGGCTGACCTGTGTGTTGTGTCCCGTTGTGTAGAACTTCACCTGGTGTGTTGATCTTAAGCGAGTTTTCTGGAAGTAGTCGCCTGTTAAGCGGCGCGTTGACTGTGAACCCCTGGGAGCTGGATCAAGTCATCGACGCGCTCCGAGATGCTGTGTACATGCCCACGAACGAGCGAGAGCATCGACGTAATTGCGACTTCCAGTTCGTGGCAGCAAACCCTCCGCGTCGATGGGCCAAGTGCGTTCTGACGGACATTGTGAACGCTCGGAAGAAAGAAGAGGCGTTCGTGTACATGGGCACGGGATTTGGTCTGGATTTCCGCTTGATGGAAGTCAGCGCTCAATTCCGGGTAAGTTACATAGCTTTTACTCATGAAAATGGACTTTTACTAACTACTAGAACTGTTTTTGAATTAGAAATTGACAGGAGAGGAGCTTGCTCCTGCCTATCGAACGAGTACGAGCCGTGCGATCTTCCTGGACTATTATCGGACATTAGCTCCTGACGTATCAAAACTGATGGGTGTGCGGTGGCCTGACGTGCCTTTGAGCGCGTTATCCACACTTGAACAGTTGTGTAAAGACCCTCGAAACACCGTGTTTATCGTCAGTGGCTGCAACTGCGACCTTCTAACACAGAAGTTCGGTGGAGTACCAGGTTTGGGCCTCGTGGCAGAACACGGATACTTCATCCGACGAGCGGTCCTAGGCAATAACGCTCGCATCGGACGCCCGTGGGAAAGACATGGAGATATTTTGCAGTCAGACGGAGGGCATCAACAATGGCGCGTTAAGGCAGAGAAGATTATCCAGCTTTACGTTGATCGCACGAATGGCTCGACGCTTGAGCTTCGGAGAAGTGCCGTCCTGTTCCGGTATGGCAAGTCCGACTTTGACTTTGGCGCATTGCAGGCAGCAGAGCTGAAGGAGCACCTCGAGGGCGTCTTTGAGGTATGAATAAGGACTAATTAGTTGATTCTAGGCGGAAAAATCTGACGTATGTTTGCATATCAAACAGGGCTGGCCGCTGAATATTATCCAAGGCAAAGATTACATCGAAGTGCGACCGGAAGGAGTTGGCAAGGGCAAACTGATCGGCCACTTGTTGAACAAGATGCGCGTCGATGGGAACCCGGCGAATTTTGTTCTGTGCATTGGAGATGATGTGGCCGACGAGCTCATGTTCGAGCAACTTAAGACGATGGTCGCTCACGAAGAGCTTCCAAAAGGTGAGTACTATTTGGTAATGAACTCGTCGCAGATTTTTGTAATGATAACATTCATGTTGTAGACAAAGTATTTACATGCACAGTGGGTCAAAAGCCCTCTAAGGCCGAGTTCTTCGTTGACGACTACACTGACGTGATCGCCCTGTTGAAGTCACTTAAAGTGGTCGCTACAAAGGTACTTAGGCGTTAAAACGGATTTTATAGTGCGTTGACTAACGCTTCTGTCTTATGATCAGTCCAACCGGAACTACTCACTGTCGGATATGCAGTCGTTTGTGCGAGACACACGTCCGTTCCTTTCATCATCGTCGCATGGTACCGGTGGAGTTTCCAGGAGTGCGACGTCGGATACCGTGATACGAAAGTCTTCTAGTCGCCACGCACTCTACAATCACTTGTAAGTGGCGTCTAAATTACGGATGTGAATCAACGTGAACTCATTTGTTTCTTATGACGTATAGGACGCCTGTGATCGAGGACCAAATCATATCCGCAGATGGAGGAGTTCGGTCTCCTTCACCGAAACGCCACAAGAACAAGTGGTTGAATCTCCTACAACAAGTAGGCGTCGTTGCCATATTAGTCGGCATTCTTCGATGGCGTAGCGGGGTGAAAAACCCTCATGAAAAGAAGTTGCTGATGTACCTGGTAGCGTCACTTGGCATCGCCTGGTCCATCCAGCGTCTACGATCAAAGCCACTCAAATAACAAGTAAGGACTCTTAACTAAGTGAATTGATGTATCTCCCTGAGTTTAACCTGCAGGACCGGTGCTCTTTTAGACGTTGATGCCATTTTCAGCGCCCCATTTCTTCATGATGCGCACAATGTACTCGACTTGCGGGTTATTATTCGCTTTGAGGATACTGAGCACTTCCTCGAGTTCCACTCGTGTCGCTTTCCCCGCCACTGCACGCTGGAAAACACCCACACAAGCGCCACGCTTGCCTTCCCAGTACTCCGGATCCGGGTCAAGTCGTTCTAGAATATCAAATGCCTTCGCAGCGTAGAGGAATTCGCCCATTTTGTAGCAATCATGAGCGATGAGCTGCAGCAAGTTGAAGGAATCGTCCGAGTTGTCGAGCTTTAAGTACAAATCCCAAGCCGCTGACGGATTGTGGTTCAAGATGTAACATCTCGTCAACCAACTCACGTAGCAGTAATCGTGGCGATAGTCTTCTTGCTGCACACGCAGCAGCGTTTCAAGCGCTTCTTGGTGCGATCCAGTGTTACACAACGAGATTCCGAAGTTCCAGTTGAAATCATCTTCGTTGTAGAGATATTGTTTGATGGAGTTGAGGTAGATGTTGACGTCTTCGAACTGTTTGAGTAGGTAGAAGCACGACGCCATACACTGGCGTCCAGGGATGGTATCACACTCAGTAGGGGAGGACCCAACGAGCTGGAAATACTGCTGTGCTGTCTTGATATGCTGCCGAGATGACGTTGACTGGCCCAATGTAGCGTGAACTACACCTTTGAGAATATATTCCTGCGGTGTAGATGGCTCCACGTCTTTAATAAGGTCATATGCCTCCTGTAGCTTGTCGTGTTTGAGGTAGTACACTACCAGATTGAGTCGAGCTTCAGGTAGAGCGTCCACAAACTGAGGGAGCACTCTCAACGCGTGCTGTCCGTCCTCAAACACTACCATGTTATGGCTCACTAGATCGTTCTGTTCAATGTTGTAGCCACGATCAGTGAGTGTCTTGATCTCATCTTTGGCTGCAGCTCCGTTGTAGAGCTTGAACTGGTTGCAAGCCTTGACGTTCACAGCCACGACACTGTCGGGAAAGGCTTGGAGATAAGCCTGCATGATCTCGAGCGACACGTCGTAGTAGTCGAGTTTGTAGTAACACATGGCTACATACACATTGAGAGCGATATCGTCTCGGTTCTCGAGCAGAAGGCGCTTGTAGATGTCTGTGGCTTCCTGGAAATGGTTCCGGAAGTAATGGATCGCTGCTAGAGACAGCTGATCCTCCTTAGAGTCTGTAAGTTGTTGGTGATACACTAATAATTTATCCTCATCGCCTAATTTGTGGGCACAATGGAAGAGCAGGCGGTTCTGAAGTGGACCTGCGGGTCCCTTCTCGGCCTCTTTGGCTGCCTCCTTGTACATTTGCAGGTAGAAGAGACAGCAGGCGCGATAGAGGAAGATCTCAGGCGTGTCGTCTACGTCTCGCAGTTGCTCGTAGGCGTCCAGTGCGCGCTGGTAGTTGCCTAGATGGAAGGACGTGTAGGCGAGCCATAGAAGCGTCTTGCGCTTCTCCTCCGCCTTGGCAGGGCCCGTCACTGCCGCTGCGTCATCGCTCTTGAGATTGAACTCGAGGATGGCCGAGGCGCCCGTGAAGTCCCTCTTGGCTATACATTCCTCTACGGTCGGACCTTTCTTGGTCTTGACGCGCGCGATCTCCTGCGCCTTGGCGCGCTGCGTCTGCTTGGGCTTGGCTACGTACATCTTGATAATGGCTACAGCGTCGCTTCAAGATCGCCGTCTTCAGTCATACCACCAACTCATGTTCACCACATTACATGGTGATGTGAAGAACATGAATTACGTACGATACACTAATTTGTTGTAACCACACAGCGTTTTTCATTCGTTGAGGATCCCAGTTGCCAAGTATGGGTCGACGCGAGGAAGAGGCCGAGTCAGGCCGTCGCCACGGGCGTCACAGAACGTCCCCGAGCCCGACGCGTGGCGAGAACAATGAGGAAGCTATCCGTAATAAGCTGCGCGAGTCTGGATGGAAGAAACGCCGTACAGAGAGTGAGAGCACGGCAGACGCAGAGGCTTCCAAAGACGAGGAGAAGACCAAAAACAGGGCCGAAATGGGATCTCCACGGCCTGCCGACGACCGCCGCTCATCCAGAACATCGCGGAGCACGCGGCGATCGCGCTCTCCGCGGCGTCGCGATCGGGAACACCGTAGTTCGCGCAGAAAATCGTCGGGTAGCAGACGCCGGTCGCCATCTCGTTCCCGTTCGCCAGCGTCGCGCTCCCGCTCGCGCTCGCGGTCCACAGGTCGACGACGCCGACGTCACTCGTCTTCGTCGAGAAAGCGCCGCACGTCGCTCTCGCCGTCTCGCACGCGGGACTCGAAGCGGTCGCGCCGTATGTCCCGGTCCCGGTCCACCTCAGCTACCAAGAAGAAGACGCCAGAGAAGAAGAAAGAGAAGGAAAAGAAGGATGACGATGAAACGGAGACGGAAAATGAAGAGGAAGCAGACACGAACAAGAAGGAAGAGAAGGTAAATGGAGAGAAACAGGAGAAGCCGGAGAAACAGGAGAGGAGCGAGGACCGCCACAGGTCCAGAAAGAGCAGTCGCCGGTCCAGGTCGCCGTCTCCACGCTCTCCGTCGCGGTCGTCAAGACGCAGACGCCACCGACGCAGCTACTCGCGCTCGCGCTCTCCGTCCCGTAGCCGTCGCGCGCGTCGCGGAGGCTCCCGTTCGCGGTCCCCGCGTCGGTCTCGTGGACGTGATCGCGACCGGGACCGTCGCCGTCGTAGACGGAGCTACAGTCGTAGCCGCAGTCCCAGCTACAGCCGCCGCCGCCGTCGTGACCGCTCCAGCTCACGCGACCGGCCGCGCCGGGACACAAAGGAGCCGGCCGAGCCACAACCTGCGACAGATACCGCCGCTCCTTCTGCTTCTACCACGGCGCCGGCCGCTCCAGCCGCAGGCGTGAACCCGACAATTACACAGTTAATGGCTCAGTATCCGACTATGAGTCTACAGGACATTATCGCCAAGATGCAGGCTTCGAACGTGACGATGGCCGCCGCCGTGGCCCAAAAACCGGCGCGTGAGCTGTACGTGGGCAATTTGCCTCCCAACGTGACTGGTCCGCAGCTCCAGGAGTTCCTGAGTACTATCATTCAGCAGGTCGGCCTCACGACTCAACCTGGCAACCCGATTATCAACACGTGGACCTCTACTGACGGCCACTTCGCCTTCTGCGAGATGCGCTCGGTCGAGGAATGTAACTTGGCGTTGCTGTTGAACCAGCTGTCGCTTCTGGGCCAGCCACTGAAGTTTGGTCGACCGCGCAGCTTCATGGGACCTCCTCAGCCGATGCCTCAAGTCTCGGCGCGTACACAGACGGCTCTTACCAACCTGGGCTGCACGCCGAACCCGGCCTGGTTCGCTCAGCCTACTGTACCAAGCACAGAGACTACGACGGAATCTACGCTGGCGGAAGCTACGTTGTCTGCGATCGCGGCGGCCCAGCCTGCCACGGCTGAGGCTGGCTCGGGTCATCGTCTGATCATGTCGAACATTCCAGTTGTGCTGACAGAGGATCAGGTTAAGGAGCTGGTCGAGCCGTTCGGGAAGCTCAAAAGCTTCACGTTGGTTAAGGACACTGCGACTGGTGCATCTTTGGGCAGTGCGTTGTTCGAGTACGAGGACAAGGACGTTGCTGATCAAGCTGTGGAAGGACTGAATGGACTGAGTATTGGTGGGATTCTGCTGTCGGTCCAACGCCAGCCTCCAAATGCAGCGGCACTACCGAGTGCAGCCGTGACTCCTGAGGACCAACCCAGTGCCGTTCTGAAAATGGTAAGGCTTGTGTTTATATTGGTTGAGCTGCGTGTTTGATATTGACTGTGAATTTTGTTTCTATGTAGGCGAACATGGTTTCAATTGATGAGTTAAGAGATGACGAGGAGTATGCTGATCTTGCTGAAGATGTAGAGGAGGAATGCAAGCGCTTTGGAAGCGTAACGGGCATGGAGATCCCGCGTCCTAAGGTTTGTTTAAGGATGGTGCTGAGTAAGAAATTGCAAGCGCTAACGCGGCTGTGTTGTTTGTTAACTTTAGGACGGAGAGGAGGTCCCTGGCTTAGGATGCATCTACGTTCGTTTCGGAAAGGAAGAAGACGCGGTTTCTGCCTTGAAGGTACGTTAAATTTCGTACAACTTCTTCAATTTCACAAGCTAACTTATAAACGCAACATTCAGGCTTTGAACGGACGCAAGTTCGGCGGAAACATCGTGAAGGTGACGTACTTTCCCCTGGACAAGTTCGAGAAGAACGAGCTGTTTTAAAGTGGAGACGAAGGACACCAAGACGCTCGAGGCTTATTTCCTTTTTATCTTGATCTTTCTTTTGCGTGTGCTAAGAGATTGCGAGTTGGGCTACGAACATTGCGACGGACTTGCGGTTGAACTGCAATGAGTATGCTGGAAGGTTTGTACGGTAAACGTCCCCCCAGGACGCAAAGCCCGCGCTAACCGTAACGTGCTGTCGCGATGTGTAGATCGAATCCAATGAACTTGGCCTTCTATGTTGTGTGCTCATGAAATTCCACTTACTGGGAGTCATGCCTAATGTGTGTTTTGTGTTCGTACTGAATGCCTACTGTACTTGTAGAGAGCTTGCAACTAAAGAAACGAACAACAAACAGGGAACGGACTACACACACCACGATGAGCTCAAATGCAGAAGACGAATACGGGAATGACCTGCCGAGACTCTTTCCGTCGTAGTTGTAGCTGGCCTAGGACAAAGACCTTGCATCCAGACAACTTGATCGAGCGAGGACGAGTACGGGATTGGCATTGTGTCCGCGAAATCCAGTCAGGTATGTGGTTATTGTTCTGTGCGAGAAGCTGGATAGACCGAAGCTGTAAGATGGCTCAATAAACCAGCTCGCCGCTGGCTCGAGCGTTGTGAAACTCATTTTTTTTTCATGGTGTTTTCGTGCTAACTATCTTGCTGACCTGGTGGGTGCGAGACAACCCGTTTGGAGATGCGGTGGTAGTAACGATACTCTTCTTGTGCGTAGTCGTAGAAGCTCTCCCAGAGACTCACTCCGTGTTCATCGAAATCTTTTTCGCGGTACAGAAGATGGTGTAGCGGTCCAGCAGGTCGCTCTAAGCCATCGACATCAGCAATGACTGCTGCACTGTCGCGGGGTTGGATACTGGTATTCTCACTCATCATAGTGACGAATGCTAAGGCAACTGCAGGAGATGAAGCAGCAGTAGAGGGAACCACCTCATCGTCCCAGTTACCCGTCGACACTGGTACAAATTGTGAGATTTCCCATAGCATATCTTGATAATTATCGCGAGGAGATAAGTTCACGAAATCGTAGCCCCTCGAAGCATCTTGAAGCATTTCTGAAGGCCAAATCGATGGGAACTCGCCATCTCCATAGTCACGACGTCGTCCATAATAGTCGAATAGCTTACGCTTGTTGTGTTGCCGTCTTTTGCCTCCACCATGGACAACCACATCGCACTGATTTACAAAAATATTAGAAAATTATCAATACCGACGAGAAAGGAGACAACAAACTGACGTGATCACAGAAAAACTCGGAGCATGTAGCGCATTCAAAGCTTGCAGTCTCTGGAGTTTCTAAATAAATATATATATATATATGTATACAGCGTTAAGAAAAATAACAGCAAAAAGTTTTAGTACATTAGATACTAACCACATTGAGCACAAATCGGACGGACTGTGAGAGACAACAGGTCACGTGGCAAACGCCAGCGAATCTCGCCGTTCACTTGGTTCTATAGCATATCAACAGAATACAATGAGTTCATAGATAATAAATTACCCAACACAAATACTTACGAAGAAAAATGGTGCTCCGTATCCTGCTCCATGCTGGTTGTGCGTGTCGACGAGTTGTTTCCAACGAGTACGTTGAGTCTTTCGTACTTCACGAACACAAACATAAGCTTGACGTCGTCTCCAATACGACTGCACTAGTGTCGACGCCCATCGCTTCATCTCTTCAGCTCGTTGCTGCACCTCAAGTAACTCTCGTACAACCTTCCGTGCCCGACGACGCACTAAAAACTCCCTAACAAAACGTTGAATAACCACAGCAGCTTCTGATCGTTCTTGGTTACGAATACGTCGTGCTTCAGCAACAATGATCAACGCAAGACGATCACGTCTAGTACGCCAATGTCTCTGCAGTCTTCGAGCTGCCAGGTCCTGATCATTCCGTTGCTTTGCCAACGCCAACAACCCCGCAGCTTCTCGTCCACGTCGAGCTCGGAAGACCGACTGGAGCTTCGTGGCTGCCATTTCTCGCTCGATAATCGCATTTCGACGCCTCGAAGCCTTACGCAACGCACGTAAACGTCGGAATTGCGCTTGAATTCGTACTGCGCAACGTTGTTGAAGCTCGAAAAAGCGACGTTGTTCCTCTCGTAGATCGAACGCCAGTCGTCGAGCCTTATGGCCACGATACCGACGCTGGATCAACATACTGGCTGAACGTTCACGCCTAGAACGCGCGAGCTTCTGAGCTTGCATTAACTGCAGTTTGTTACGATGAATTCGACGTCGGAAATGACGCTGCACTTTGATCGCTGCTTGGGTATCACGCATGAACTCACGTCTACGTCTCGCTACCAGTTGACGAGCTTCGCGTCCCGCTCGCACTGCTCGATATCGACGTTGAACTACAACAGCAGCTTGTAAAAGTTGTTTCTCGTATATTCCACGCATTTCATCCTGAACACGCCGAGCCTGACGAGTTGCACGGTATCGTCGCTGAATTAACGTCGCGCATTGCTCCAGACGCGAATATTTCATCTTTAAAATTAACGCTTCTCTTCTGGCTTGTCGTCCACGCCAAATACTCTGCAACTTTCTCGCAACAGCATGTTGTAATGCAATTTCCCGTCGTACAAGTGCTTGTCGACGAGCTACGCGAGCTCGAAATAAATTCTGGTAAAATAAACATTAGTACATTGTTTTAAAGAATTTATAAAATAGATTACGCACCTGGATAGTTGCTGCTGCCGCCCAGGACGTACAGAATTCAGCGACATATCGTCGATCTTTTGCTCTTGGAGCAGGAAAAATACCCATCTGCGCTGCAGGAGGTAGCCGTATTTCGCCAAATTGCCACGATGAACTTAAACTTTGTAGCACTCGAGCTGAGATTCGACAACCGTGTACATTAAGAGTGAGTAGTTGAGGACAAGCGAATGCCAGACGTGCAATTGGGTCTTGAGTGATAAGAGAGCACTCGGCAAGTACTAAATGTATCAGTTTTGGCCGTTGAAAGGCATCACAAAGTGCGTTAAGTCCGGCGTCAGAAATTAAACGACATCCCGTGAGATCCAGCAGCTCCAGTTGATCCGCACGTGCACTAGCGAGATAGCGGAGTCCAATATCTCCGACTCGATCGCACCCAGCAAGAATGAGTTGAGTTATTGAGCTGCCATACTTGGCTATAGCTCGAAGCATACGATCATCGCATCGACGCACACCGGAGAGATCAAGTTTTGTCAATTTTTGACAACCCTTAAGTACTGCAGTCACCGCCGGAAGTGTGATGTCATAACAAGCCTGTAGACTCAGTTTCCTCAACTCGCAACAACTCGTTCCAATTGCCACTAACGCGCGTTCTTGGAGCTGGAAGCAGCCACTCAAATTGACATCCCGAAGCTCGCGACATTTACTGGCAATTGCACGAAGACCTTCAAGTCCAAAATCTCGGTTACTACCATCGGATACAAGATACAAATTCGCTGTATGGAGCAGCTCAAGTTTCCTGCAGCCAGCTGCTATGAGCCGTAAGCCAACGTCAGAAATGCCCTTAACGCCGTTTATCTGTAAAGACTTTAACTCGGGGCAACTAGCCCCTAACGCTGCACAAGTGGCATCTGTAAGACCTATTGCTCCCGTAAGATCCAGTCGTGTGAGTTGTGGGCAGCAAGATACCATCCACTGCACCCCAGCGTCTGTAAGAGCACGGCTTCCTGATAACAAGACAACTCGTAGATTTGGACAACCTCCCAACGCCGAACACGACGAGTCTGTGAGGTGTTCTACGCCTCGAATACCAATAGGCCGATCAAGCACTATGTACTCGAGATGAGGACTACTCCGAGCGATTCGTACAACCGCTCGATCAGAAATATTCAAACAGCCGCTGAGTTCAACTTTTCGTAATTGTAGACACTGCGTTGCCAATGTTTCGATCAATATGTCACTCACTTGTGGACATCGCGATAGATTCAGATGCGTGAGTCTTGGAAACGCGTAAAAGCATCGACGAAGCACCCAATCTCCCAATTGTGGACAGTCTGCGAGGCTTAGATGTGTAAGTGAAGCTCCACAGCCATCGACAAGAGCTGCTAGCCCAGCACCGCGTACGTTAGAGAGAGCTGACAAGTCTAAACGCTCGAGATGACGGCAATACTCGCTTAATACGCGAAGTGATGCGTCGGTAACTCGCACAGCTCCGGCGATAGATAATTCTTTCAGCTTTGGAACGGCTAGTGCGATAGCAGCCAAACCAGAATCTGTAATAGCGTCGGCTCCAGTAAGTATCAATGACTCGGTTGTCTGGTTCCGAGCGTCGGAATATGCGATCGACAACTTGTCAGATTCTTCCTTGGTAAATAAAAAGCTTCGTTGGCGTGAACCTAGTAACCCTTGGAGCTTCTGGGCCTTAAGATTTGTACTGGAAATGTGGTGGTTGTGAGCTGCTATGCGACGTAAAGTTTGGTCCGATACGATCACACTCCAACGACGTAAGTCAACGCGAGCACCTTGCAGTAATTGCAACGGAACATCCGATAATGTGGATCCTAACGTGTTCTGCTCTGATCTATGGGGTTGTATTAGCTGTGATAATTGCTCCAGAGCTGGGGACTTTCCGGTCTGACGCTGAGGTTCATGAGAAGATTGACTGTGACATGGAGTCAAGTCTTCCTGGTTTGAGATAATCATTTCAGGTCTTTGTACAGTTTCTGGTCCGTTAGGAGATACCACACGAGACCTCGGTATTTCCTGTAGTTTGACATTACTGCTCGCTCTGAGCTTCCTGGTACGTTGCCGTGCAGCTAATTGCACCGTCTTTTGGTTACTCTCCTGTAAAGTTTCAGGCGTACGGCGTCCACTTTCGCTGCCGGTTAGCCTACAAAAAAACACATTTTTTAGAATTTAGTCGAGAAATACAGGGAATTTACACTACCAGATCTTACGGAGTGAGTTGACGTGATCTACTCTTGTGGTTCTGGTTGGAACGTGAAGCTGTTCGACTTTGGATCGAGCGACGATACTCATCTAGCAGGGTCATAGTCGTGTCAAGCAAAGAGAAGATTTTAGACTGTGTAATAATAGCAAACCCAGCCCATACTTAATTATGACTTAAAGTGATGATTTTTTTAGGGTTCAATGCAAGTACCAGAAGTGTCCACCACTTTTCTAACTGTAGATCTGCACGGAGCTGATTTGGGTCGCGACGGTGGAAACGCTGGAGAAATTTTCGTTGCTTTTGACACACTTTGGTTCAATAATGTAGCTGTCAATTGTCGCTGTCCTTCACTCGTTTTCTGTCTTCGAGTAGAACTCGTAGCACTTACAGGTCTCCGGTGCTTTACACATTTGGACGGTTTGGATACAGCTGTAGACTTCTGACTCAACGGAGCTGCCATCAAAGCAAGCGGAGCTTGCAACACAGCAAGTCGAGCTTGACGCATCATTGCCGCACTAGAGCACCGTACTTGGTCATATTTTCCGTTCTCTTCATCTTTCGTAGAGTTTCTGGCTGTTTGAGGTCTTCGTGCTCGTTTATATTGTGCATCTAAAGCCTCGTCCTGATCAACCAAAGCTTGGAGTTCTAGTAATTTAGCCAGCGCCTCTGTAGCCGGATCAACTGGAGGTTTTCGTCGTCTAGCAGCCGCTGCGCGCTCCAATTGATGGCGTCTAGCACGCTCAAACACTTGTGAACGTCGCTCGGAATCGTCCTTGACAGCATTCTCGTAAAATTCCACTAGCTGTGTGTATTGAATCGGTTGTGTCCTTTCCAATGTCTCGAGATATTGCTGTGAATGACTCGTTAGAACAGTCGAATGCGCTTCTCCTGCCGCTAATTGAGTAACTCGCAGTCCAACTAGCGACGTCACGAGATGAGGGAGAGTATAGATTTGAGGACACGAGTTTAAACCACATTGACCCATTTCGTCACTACCCCAAGCGAATAGTCTTCCATCAGGGCACGATACAAGAGAATGCTGCTTGCCTGCAGCCACCGAAGCGATAGTTAACAGAGATAGTGTACCCACCGCGTCAAAGTACACTACCCGTGTAGGTATAAACCGATCACGACAGTCTCCAAGACCTAATTGACCACTACAATTCCAGCCGAAAGCGTACAGTTCATACGCTCCTGTAACTGCTAGTGTATGAGCGGCACCACAAGCTGCGTAGGTGCATTTAACACTATTAGGGAAGGCCACAGGCGCAAACCACGACGAATACTCGTCGTTTAGACCGTCCGATGCTTTATCGTTTGCCATGTGTCGACCCAGACGACCATATTCTCGCTGCCCACAGGTAAGCAGCTGACCACTTTGAAGCAATACAGCAGTGTGTACATCCCCACAGGTGATCTGCACCACGCGACGGCCTTTTAGTGCTAATACTTCCATCGGAGAGATTACCGTTTCGAAAGTTTGTTCGTGAGCGTTAAGACCGTGACCCAACGCACCACTACGACCGATACCCCACGAGAACACGTCGCCATCTTCAGCTAGTGCGAAGCTATGACTGGCACCGCACGACACCTGCACAATACGCTTATGTAGTAGTGACTGAACAATCCTCGGGACATTCGCAGTCTCCTTTGTCTTGTTCCTAGCTTCACAGACTCCACCCCATGTCAGCAAATAGCCTTGTTCACTCGTACCGACAACGTGTTTGTCACCACAGGAGACATCCAGCAGCATTCGACTCAACACGACATCCGTCCCGCCATCCTTAGAATTGGTACTTGTAGATCCTAGAGTTACCATCTCGCCGTCGTGATACAACGCCAGTGTCTTATCTCCATGAGTTGAGAGCTTCACAATAGCGTTCCTATGGTCTAAAGCTCTTGTAGTTGGCTCCTCTCCTCTCCTCTTGGCTCTTGTAGTCATAACCTTGACTACAGTTGCAGCAGTTGAAAGTCTCCGACGCGACTGAGCGGCTGCTTGGTTGGCAGCTTCCACGGCTGCGACGGCTGCGATCGCTCCTGCTGCCATTGGCACGAGGGTGGAGCATCGTGCTACTAACGGTCGAGGTCCCAGTGTACTGCGTTGTAGCTCTATCTCGGTGAATTCATGCAACGTCGGGTGTTTAAGCTTGAGCTGCGAGGAGAATGCGGCGGTTTTACCGGTAGCAAAGAGATGATATCCATCTCGAGGACTTACGACAGCTTGTACCGAACTTGGGAGATGAATCACTCGTCGACCGTGGTAACGAGGGTCCAGACTACTCGTGGTGTGCTCGATAATAGCAGCACTACCCCGTAATTCCTCGAAAACACCACCGTTTACAGCCGCCACTCGAAAATATTGAGGCTCTTGCCAGTTGTCCGGTGTGAATACGTGTAGAGCGGGTAGAACGCGTAGCCCAGTGGGGAGATTTACCGGCGAGACTGTAACAGGTTGTTTTGGAGCGTTTGAACAGCGTAAAGTGACTGAGTAGAACGCGGATATACCGCCTACTGTTACAGACACAGTAGCTGGCAAGAGCACAATGCTCGCCACACCAGGAGGGACACCAGCACGACGCATCAGAAGGCCATAATTCTTGGTAGATGCCGCAGAAGATGGTCGACTGCCATTGCGACTTGGCATGGTACTCAATAAATCAGAGCAACAATAACTAAGTTAAAAGTTCCAGTTTAGATCAACAGTTTTAGCCACGCCAATCTAATTAATCAAGGGTTTCCGCCCACCAGCCACGAACGAATCATCTTGACGCCATGCGCAGTCCACGTCTTCAAAGCCAGCCTTTTCCAGTGTCTTTAACTGTTTAAACAGTGCCAGTTGACCGACGTGGTCTGCAAACACGACGTGTCCTCCGGGACGTAGTGTCCTCCACACTGCTCGAAAGAGCTCTTCGTATTCCTCGTCAACCGACATCGTCTTTTCTTCCTTTGCTTGTGTATAATGCGCTGGCTTCTCCGTGAGTACGTGGAAGGCCAGGCAGGCTACTACTACGTCCACTGGCTCGTCGTAGAGCTCCGTTGTCGCACTGGGTGTCACCACCTTGGTGATGAACTGCGTCTTCTCTTTGACTCCCGTTTGTATGGCTTCAAGTCTCTGACTCGCCATTGCCAGTCTCTGCTCGGACGAGTCCATTAAGATCAACTTGACTGTCGGATAAGCCTCTAGAATGCCTGCAGAGGCTCGTCCGCTGCCTGCGCAAAGGTCTAGCACAGTCTTATCGCCACACGGAGGCAACGCAAGCACCAGCTCAGTCAGCATAGGCTTGGCCAGCGGCATGCGTTTCTCCAATTGTAGATCGTACCAATTTGCGTCGCCCCAGAAGCCTCCACGTCGCTGCAAGTTTTTTGTCCAGCTTGCATCATTGGATGGAGCATTCTTGACGGTCTTTGTGGCCTTGGAGGGACTGGAATTGGAGCTAGACGACGACGGCGGCGACGAGGATACCTCCGCTTTGCGCTTCTTCTGGCTAGATTTCTTGCGCGATTTCGACGTGTCACTGTCGAACGGAGCAAGCTTCATCTGCTTGGTGCCCAGCGGGGTCGACACGGACACGAACTGCGGGCTTGAAGTGGAGATCTCCATAGTTGATACGCTGAAAAGTCGTTGAAATTAAGCAGTTTAAAAGTATTCACAGCTTTCTGTCAAGCAAACTAGTAGTATTTAACTTTTGTCGAGAAAAAGTACTTTTATTCCGTGCGGTGACATCGTTAGAAATGCTTTTTAGAATAAAAAAGTCGTTTCTAAGCGTTTCTCCTGGACATAAGTTGAAGGTACAATGGAATCTTCATGCTTTTCTGATAGTTAGGACGAGCAAACCACTATACGCGTATAGGCTCATCAAGAGTCTTCCGTTGCTGGAGTCGCAGGTTAAGCCTTGTACGCCAGGTATGCCTCCAGCATGCTGGTAGTGGCGCTGTTGAAGCCCTTGACGGGGGCATTCTCGGTACGCGAGGCGTTCAGCTGTGCGCGCACCTGCTTAGCAAGCACCTTACCGAGCTCCACACCCCACTGGTCGAAGCTATTGATGCCCCAAATGGCACCCTGCACCACGGTGCGGTGCTCGTACAGAGCCAGAAGCTGACCGGTCGTGTACGCGTCCAGCTTCTTGAAGAGCAGCGAGATAGACGGACGGTTGCCCGGGAATAGCTTGTGGTTCTGGAGCTTCTCAGGCACACCCTCGGCCTTCAGGTCCTCAATCGACTTACCACGGGCAAGAGCGTCCGGCTGCGCGAAGAAGTTGGACATGAGCTCGTCGTGGTTAGAAACGGGTTCGCCAGCAAGCTGCACGGGGTTCTGCGACTCACAAAAGCCCAGAAAATCGCACGGCACCACGCGGCCCTGGTGGATGAGCTGGTAGAACGAGTGCTGGCCGTTCGTGCCAGGCTCACCGAAGTTCACTTCGCCGGCCTGGAACGGCAGGTCCACACCCTCCACGGTCACGCGCTTGCCATTGCTCTCCATGTCTACCTGCTGGATGTGAGCAGCGAAACGCAGCAGCGCCTGCGAGTACGGCAGCAAAGCGCGAGAGCTGTGGCCCAGGAACGACGAGTTCCAGACTCCAAGCAGACCCATGATCACCGGCAGGTTGTTACGCAGCGGGGTCTCGAGCAAATGCTTGTCCATGGCATGAGCACCAGCCAGGAACTTCTCCGTAATATCGAAGCCGTACTGCAGAGCCAAGGGCAGGATACCCACAGCGCTCGTGACGCTATAGCGACCACCCACCCAGTCCCAGAAGCCGAAGATGTTGGCGCGGTCAATGCCGAACTGCTGCACAAGCGGCACGGCCGAACTGGCCGCCACCATGTGCTTAGCCACAGCGTCCGCCTCGCTGGATCCCTTCTTGGTGAGGTCGTCCACCAGCCACTTGCGCAGCGTGCGGGCGTTCAGCATAGTTTCAGCAGTAGTGAAGGTCTTGGACACGACCACCACGAGCGTTTCCTCCGGGTTGAGGCCGCTGGTGGCACGAGCCACATCCACGGGGTCCACATTCGCCAGGAAGCGCAGGTTGCGGCCTTCCGCGGCGGCCTTGGCCACTGGTTCCTGACGCAGCGCCTCGAACACGAACTCGGGGCCGAGATAGCTGCCGCCAATGCCGATAGAAATGACGTTCTTGAGCTGCTTGCCCGTAGCACCCACGAACTTTCCGTCGCGAACGCTGGTGGAAAAGGCGCGGATGGCGTCCAGCACCTCGTGCACATCGGGGACGACGTCGTGACCGTCGACCACGATCTTTTCGGTCTTGGGGGCGCGCAGAGCCATATGCATGACCGCGCGGTCCTCCGTGGCGTTCACGTGTTCACCCGAGGCGATGGCCTGCAGCTTCTTCTTGAGCTCAGCAGTCTCGGCCAGCTCGAACAGCAGGTCCAGCGTCTTGGACGTGGCATTCTGGCGCGAGAAGTCGAGGTAAATGCCCTGCTGCTCCGTGCGCATGGCGGTGTTGCGCGCATCGTCAGCGAGCAGCTCGCGCAGGTGCGTGGACTTGATCTCGGCGGCGTGCTCAGCCAGAGCCTTCCAAGCGGGCGTGTCGTTGATCATGGTGAAGAGTGTTGGTCTGCGAGCTATGCGAGCTAGAGCGCAAATTGTGGAATGAGGGAGGATCTTTATCCAAGCCGGCTGACGTTGTCGATTGCAAAACGTTTGGGAGGTTGTGTATCACTGACGCGGTTGAAGTGGGGAGGGGTGTTGACTAGAAGTTTGTAGGAAATGAAGAGGATTCGGAAGCCGATACTACGGGTGACGTGGGAAATAATAATATTTAATACAGCAGGTTTAAAGCTAGAATCGGAAAATACAGGTCAATTTCTGATTGCGTTTTGTATGCGAACTCCGGTTGCTGTTGACGTTGCTGCAGTACGATTGGCTCGATCACCGGGTGAGATGGCGCATAAACCCCAAGCAGACCGAGAGGGATGACGGGGTTGACGAACCCCGAGATTCGTTGTTATTGCTGGAAGGTCATCATTGCTACTCAACTGTAGTGAAAAAGTTGTGGATGACGACGAGTCGCGGCAATCCGCCCTATGCAAACGCTAACTTCAGACATCTCTGCTGCGGCCTCCGCATGGAGAGTAGCCGCGTCGAGGACGGCGGGTAGCATGCATGCTGTGCAAGGCCGCAAACAGAGTGCTGTGCGTGTAGCTCTCTTGATTTCATCGAGAATGCTACGACGGCTGTGCAGTTAACGTTGCTTCAACTTTCTTGAACATTTTGAAGCCATGGATTGGTCCGCGAAGGGCCACACTTGAATAGGAATGCGAATTACAGTCCTGCGCTGTGTCAATAGAACCATCGCTATCGCAAGTTGCTAGTAGCAACCGAAAGAAGTTCGCTGTCAGCACAAATCTTTGGCGCTGATACCAACTAGCAAAATGGGCGAGCTTGGCACTCGTGACGCAGGGGCAAGAAATCCGTGATGACATCTGAGATGGATACATTCTACGCTCTTTAATTGGCTAAAACCACTGTGTAAATCATTTGATTGGTCAAATTAATTCCGTGTACCACACACAAAGTCTCCGTTACCAAACGGCGCAAGTTGCTCCTATCACCCGCTAATCAAACAGCCACAATTCACTTTGCTGAGACGACAAGTGCCGTTGCTGGCAGAGAGCAAGAAGCATCGAGAAGCTCGTTAGAAGACACCTCACCGGCAAAGGGACACCGTCGGAGAACGTACATACCCGCTGGCCGTCAGAAGCCAATTGGACTGATCTTGCTCAAGCAGATGGCTCCATTCACAACAGACGCCTCCACACGCAGCTCACGACCACCACGTCCTTCGGCACTTCCTGAGCCAGAGCCTGTGTCTTCTGTCTGGGAGCAAGCGGCAGGCCAGCACCACGACGCACCCATGCAATTATCAAAGAAGAAGAAGAGCTACAGCACCAGCAACGTGAAGAGACGCGCCTCGACATCGCCTCGTCGCAAACTGGAAGCCTTCCGTTCTACACAGTTGGTGCTGTGGCGCCGACGCTACTTTGAGGGTATTCTACGCTGGGAGGCAGCACTCAGAATGATATTCGTGGACTTTCCGAAGTTGGCTTTCAGACGCATCGAGGGTGCGCGCACAATCGTCTCATTCTTCTTCGTATACGTGATGCTACAAGCGCTGGCGATCCTCTGGGGTTTCTTATTCAATGTCGGCGCTGTTCTGGGCGAAAATATGAGTACGATCGTGACGATGCCATTAATACAAGCCATCTGCGTGCTCGTGGTGTACGTGTCGGTCATGGGTATTGTGTTGTCTTTCGGACGGGCAACGTGGATCCTCACATGGCAGTCGCTGCAGAACTTCCCGCTTATCCGCCGTATTATTGCGTGTGAGTGCAGCCCACAAGCAGTTATCCTCACGGTTGCCATGCCCATGCTGATTATCCTACCCAGCCTGATAATGGTACCCTCGCACTGTAGCAGCGCGGTGCTGCCAGGGTCATCGTCGCTGGTCCAAGCCGTCTGCGAGGAGTCTTACCTGAAACTATTAACCGACAAGCACCCGGTTTTCCAGCGTGCGTTGCGTATATCGACTGCAATTGCAATTTGCCAGTTTATTCAGCTTTGTCTGGAGATTTTGCCACGATGGCGCTCGGCACTTGCTGGACTCGGCACAGTAAAGACATTTTTCTTAGGAGGGTGGTTGCTGGGAATGAACTTCTTGGGCGGATTGTGGACAGTCGAATGGACTGCGCGTCACTTTGGACTGAAAATCACGCCATTAAGTGACCTCTCGAATTACCAGTGGGAGATCTTTGGTATGACATTGCTCGTGGGATGGATTCTGTGGTTCCTGGCGATCACTTGCTTCACGTTTCCCAATGTTAGCGAGTGCGATTCAAACAAAAAGGCTCTCTGTGGGTTCTTTGAGCGGCTCAAATTCACGTTCGCCGTCGGTCAGGGCATTGTGTTCTTCCGAGCATGTGTGCACCCGCACATGGGTTTTGTCCATGCACAGCTTGAGCTTACTATCATCAACTTGCTCTTGCCGTCGATTTACGTGGTATCGCTCATCTGTCTTCGGATGGTGAGCCTGTTGAGCATGCGCGCGGTGGTTATTGATGGCCCCTTGGCACTAGGCATGTCAGGTATCGTGTTTATTGGCTCCAAGATGACTGAGAAGCCTCACGTCTTCGTTGTAGTGAGTTTGTTCTTTTTCGACCGCTTTTTACGCTCGGAGGCTGCTTCATCGTTGAGTGAGATGGGACAAACTCTCCAGCAAATGCTGCAAGAAACGTCGTCTAACAAGAAACACCCGCTTCTGGGCCATCGTACTGCCAAGAAATTCGTGTACCTTGCGCTCGCTATCCTGCTGCTGTTTGTGGGTGCCATTTCGGGATTCAGTGTTCTATCGGTGCTACAGAAGAGCGCGAAGTGGTTTCCTGACGCCACATCGGTGGAATACGAAGACAACTCAATCCACATTCATCATACGGGGGTTGTGAAGCTGCACCTTGGACTTGCAAACGATACCAATCCCGCTATCACGATTGATGATCCGCTTTATGCGAGCTGCTCGAGTCGCTGGAACGGCCTGAGTTTGATCGATTTGGCGTTCTTCGCAGAGGCTGCCTACTTTAATCCACTGTCTAACGACACTGCCGAGTTTATTTCAACTATTTTTGACAACGAATTAGGAGATATTCACGTTCATTTGCCGGCCTTGAATACCAAGACCGGGTCAAAGCTCGACTTTTTCGAGGCGTACATCCCGAAACTCAATACAAGCGTCATTTCGGTGCGAGGCACGGACATCTGGAGATTCACGGACTTTGTGGAGGATGTCAAGATGTTTTTCGAGCCTGTGGTGTTTTCGGTATTGTCTTCAATCTTCCCGACCATCCGTATTTGGCCTGATGTGACGTTTTCCACTTTGATTGAGCTATACAGTGAGATGACCGGGTTGTTTGGCTTGCAGCATGAATCGTGGTATTATCACGAACTTTTGGACTACGTCACATCTCGAACGGACCGTAAGGTGGTACTCACGGGCCACTCGATGGGTGGTGGTATCGCGCGTCTTGTCGGATCCATTGTCGGGACGACCTCAGTTACCTTTTCTCCGCCTGGATTTGTGCAAAGCTATAGTAAATTGATTCACCACATTGGTGGAACGTCGATGAAAGTTGACCGCACAAGCCTGCACCACCGTAACTTTGCTGTTGTACCCGAGTACGATCCGATTACCATGATTGACGCCCAAGCTGGAATGACGCAAAAAATATCGTGTGATACGCCACATCTTTCGATGCAGTTGTCCTGCCACATGCTCGAAGGAACGATCTGCAACTTAGTGGAGCATTGTGGCTCTCCCAGACGTCGGATTTCATCGTGTCTGTTTAAGCACAACATCGCTGGAGCCACGGAGGACATGCTTCCGAGAGTGCTTGCGACGATATCCAAGCCCGAAATCTACGTTTCTTTTGGCGTGACGGTATCGATCGCGCTCTCCATGTTGCTTCGTCGCCGTCATCGCAAGATGCGTACACCATTATCCTCTCCGTCCAACCGCAGAAAGAAGAACAATATCTCGGGTTTCCCACACAGCTCAAGAGACCTACAGCCGCCTCATCCATCACTGTATGTTCGGCGCAACTCCGTTATTTAGCTTAGATAGATTCATATCACTTCGACATGTTGCCTACAAATAAATCCGGAAGTGTACTCGGAAGGTGTTTGTGTTCTCGAGCACGCTGCTGTCGTTCCTTTGACTTCCGCTTCAACTCAACGTTCCGCTGCACTAGGGTAACATGAACTGTTGCCATCGGATCGTTTTCCTTCTGGTTTGCACCGAGGAAGCCATTGGTAAAGGCTGGAGTATTATTTTGCTCCTGGTGGCGCTGTCTTCGTTCTTCTTTCAGCAATCGTTGCGTTTGAAGACGTTCTCTCTTGACCGCCTTCAGCTCAGCACGAACTCGTTCGGCATGGTTAAGGCGGGTTTCGGTCTCGTTGCTATCACTTTGAAATGTGGGAAGAGGAGGGAGGATGTTTCTTGTTCGTAATTGCTCGGCTAGCTTTCCTTTCGCTCGCAGTTTTGGCCGTTCTGCCGTGCTGGTTCTGCTCGAGCTTTGCGATTCGATGTTCTCGTGCTCCAATTGATTAGGTACTGGTGCTGGTATCATGGATGCACGCTGACTAAGCGCAGGCAAGTCTGTACTGCTTCTTTCGTCCGGTGTGATACCCACCAAGACAAGATCAGGTAATAAAGGGAGTTCGTCACTCTCTCGACGACTATGCTGTCGTTTTGTAATATGTGCATGCAGTGCTCTTAAACGCGTAATTCTTGGAGATCGAATATGCGATTGCTGCTGCTTCTGAAGCCCCAGAACGGTAAACGAGGCATTTAATGTTGGCGGCGCTTGCGGCTCCTGCTTGGGCTCAGTAAGCTGTTGACTTTTACTCTTTTCATGCTTTTGCTGTAGATACAACAACCCGGGCAACAGCGCATAATCACACCCAGGAAACGGGCATACGTACACTTGTGATAGCATTGACCTCGCGAGGCAGCTTTCGTGGAAAACATGCTACGCGCGCCACGAAACACAACCGCATAAGAAACAATAAACGATTGAACGCGGGCAATAGTACATGTACGCACCCCACATAATGTCGAATGGAGTGCCGCTTTAATTCGGAGATTCTGGGCGCAGAGTGAGCACGTTGCCCCAGGTTCACCAAACGTTTTAGCGCTATCAGCACTTACTTTGGACCCAGAAATTACTTTCACGAGATAGTCTTGTATAGGGCGTTTATCTCCATGATCAAGTTGCAGAAGCACATCATAATCGTTCGTAGAGAGCTCTCGAGATTCCAAGTCTCGAATTAAATCTGAACTGATAGCTGTTCGAGGCTGATTTTCACGTAACGCGGGTATCCATGGGTCTGACACATTCTGCTTCATGACAAATGCGTGATTCAAGTGAGCATTTGACTTGAAGCATCGCGCGCACAAGTCCACGTTCTTGCACCGGACGCAGCGATAGCGCTCGCACCGAATTGGTTTTGTCTTGCATTTCCTGCATACTGCACCCTTATGGACGTTCGGGGCTCTGTTTGCTGCGTCTATCGCCTTCCGTAGTGCTGTCAGTGCTTCACCACCCCAATCCTGGCGACACAACGGACAAATGATGTTTTCTTTGGACTGGCGACGACTCTCTCCAAACACCTTCATACACTCAATATGGAAATTGTTGCCACAACTGCAGCAACGAATGAAATGTTAGTAAACAAGCTCTCTCATAAAAGAACCTGCTCGTACCCTTTGCGGCAAAACGTGAGCGGTTTGCTATCATCCATGTCCTCCTGACAAATCGCACACACCTCCCCCGCTACTAACTCGTGTCTGTCTACGTCTACATCCTCAGGTTCACTCGGTGCAGCCGCTTCCTTGCGTTTCTTCATATACGGCTTTGGCGCCGGCCTCGACTTCTCCCTGTATCCTCCTCGGAGCAGCGTCTCTATCTACATCACAAAAGCCACCGATAAATTGTTGATAACAGTAGGTTATCAGCAACTAAGGCCCATTTCACTTTACCTCTGAATCGATAAGTGACTTTTGCCACACGACAGGTGTTGTCGGCGGAACTCGAAGAACTTTGAGCATCACGAACAGGATGTGGATGCAAATGTCGGCCGTACCACAACTGCAGGTCTGCAGCGGCCCGATCAACACTTTATACTTCTTGTCGCAGTTCTGCTCCTGAATCTACAGAGATCAAGCCGTTAGATCGCGCCGTTCAACTACTGAAACAAACTGCCGGCCGGTCTCACCACGTAGGACGTAGGGCCCGTGGTCTGCACCAGGTACATGGTGGTGTTTAGCGTCTGCTCGATGCGCGTCGCCACCTCCTCCGACACCTTTGTTCGATACGGCACCAGTCGGCTCATCATTGGCTTCCCCAGAGTGCGGAATTCAAGGAGTGATGGTCACTTCAACGTCAATTATCCCGCGGGACGACTGAACCCGCGGGTTCTGCCAAATCGGGCCCGCGGGTCACTTTGTGCCAAGTGGCGTCATTTCACAACACGCACCACGTCGGAGGAAGAGGCGACGATGAACGACCCGCTGGAATGGTACTACGAGATCCCCGTGGTGTCGCGGCTGTACCTCACAGGATCTTTCCTTACAACCACGGCCTGTGCACTGGATTTGGTGTCGCCCTTTTCGCTCTATTTCAACTTTAACCTCATCTTCTTCAAGGGACAAGTACGTGTGCTACGCAATTGCGGAACCTAAGAATATTGTGCATTGACACTCACGATACTGTGTATCTATAACCACATGCAACAGGTATGGAGACTGGTGACCAACTTCATGTTCTTCGGCCTATTCAGCCTCGACTTCCTATTCCACATGTACTTCGTGTCCGTAACCCGTGCTGCCAATTGCTAGGCTATTCACAACACCGCGCTGACGTTATTTACATTGTATTTTGCTGTGATCAGCGTTCGCTATTGCAGATTACTAGAGGAGGGATCCTTTCGGGGTCGGACAGCGGACTTTGTGTACATGCTACTGCTGGGAGCAGTCTTTATGATCGTACGCTTACCTGACGCGTTGAAATTTTCGTAGGTGGCAACGATGCTAACAACATACGCTGTGATGTTAACATTTGTAGTTAGTGGCACCGTTCGTGAACATCCACTTTCTTGGCTCGTCGCTGACGTTCATGATGGTGTATCTCTGGGGTCGTCGCAATGAGCACGTCCGGATGAGCTTCCTCGGTCTGTTCCCGTTCACAGCGCCGTACCTGCCATGGGTGCTGTTCTCCTTCTCCATTCTTCTGGGAAACAGCGCGACGACGGATTTGATTGGCATCATTGTTGGACATATCTATTATTTCTTGGAAGGTGAGCAGAAAGTCACAATGGCGTTGGTAAATACGACTAAGAAGCGTCTAACTGTGTGATGATACTATAGACGTGTACCCTACCATTGCTAGCATTCGAGGCTGGAAGACCCAGCGACCGCTTGCGACTCCGCGCTTTATGTACGTTCACCCTTGGTACAAAGTGGCTTTATGGAAGGAGAATCTCACGACTCTGTTTCGCTGTAATGTTTGAGCAGCCGCTATCTGTTTGATCCGCGTCCTGTAGCTGTTGATGCCGAGCAGGTTATTAACGATTTCGGCGGGGCAGATGACAACGATCACCCCCACGCTGAGTAGTAAGGACTAATAAAAACTTGACATGTGTCAGCTGGAAGTTTTCTTATTGTCCGCAGCGCCATGCCTGCTGACGAAATCAAGGATGGGAAAGCAAAGATCGCAATGATAAAGCTGATAATTAGATACCGGTAACAGTTGTGGGCTGTGCCTAGCAGACTGGAGCGATCACTACTGTAGGAAAATGTTTTGCTTCTTTCGCAAAACCAAAAACAATTGCTGCAGAGATCGATGCTTACGTGGCACGGGATAGATATACTGCTCTGTGCAGTCAATGGAGTAAGATGCTACGCTCACCAGGCCTGGCTGACCGCCATCAACGGAATCAGCGAATTCCGAGCTTCCGGCACTTGCAGCATCATCAGCAACGAGTGCCGGTCGTTCTCGTCCCAATCATCCCCTGAGGATTCTCCACGCGGGGTGGAGTTGGCACTAGTATCCGGCGACTTCTTCAGAGCGGGAGCATCGGTGCCAGGCGGGTGGTTATTGGAGACAGCGCGTCTCAGCATGGTCGGCATCCCCATTACAAAGCGCGAGGCAGTGTTCATAGCCGATGTTGCATGCTGAGGCGTCGCAGAATCTTCATTGCTCGTTTCCTCCTCGCTGCTGTTGTTACTGCGCTGGGATTTAGCCTCAGGAGAGTCTAGTGGACAGTCACGCTTTGAGTGCACCTTGTCTTTGGCGGCGGCTCTGATGTGCTTCAGCGACGGGATGCCAAACTTTTTGCCGTTGTTTGGCATTGCATTAGTCTCTGCCTTCTTTACGGACGACTCGGTACTGGACCTTGAGAGCGATGGCACGCAGTCTACTGGAACCGACGGAGCGGCAGCAGCGCTCCTGCTGTTCGCACTGTTGCGCTTCAAAGCAGTCGGGAGCTTAACTGTGGACAAGTTGCTCTTGATCTTCGAAGCTGCAGATGCCGCTGCAGCCGAAGAAGCCGTGGCAGAGCGGCGTAGCATCGGGCTGGAGAACATGCGTCGCTTCGTCTTGGCCATGAGATCCGCTGTCGGACCGGCGTGTTGTGCACTGAGAGTCAAGGCGGTTAGAGCGCTGGGCACTGCTGGAGAGTGGAGCTCTTGTGTGTCGCTTCCTGGAGAGTGAAGCGGGTCTAGGGCCAACGTCGGCCTCTTGTCGCTCGGAGCGGGCATCGTTGGTGTTTGGCTTGGTGCGTGAGCTTACGGTGCTTGCTGTAGCTTTGTATCGACGCTGCCGGTCTCTGCACTTGCCGCTCCTGCTCTTCTTCTCGGCTTTTCCTACGCGCTTGCCACCACAAATCGCACACTGCTGAGGAAGTGAAGGCTCTTTTTGTCAAGTGAAGAGAGAATTCCCTCGTTGTTTTTCGACGCTCGAAGTGAGGAGCCATAGTGAAACCGACTGAATTATTTCCGTAGCGGTTAGGACAGCCGCCGCGCCTTTTCAACGTTGGCCAACAAGCAGCAAATTCAAACGGGTTGGTCCAGCACACTGTGTTTAATGTACCTGTTGACAAACCTCCCGCTGCTTCTGCAGACTGGTCCTGGCAGTGCCTAAATGCAGGCTGCCATCCATACCGTGTGCTGCGGAGCCAACTGCGTGGCAAAAGAAATGTAGGCGGATCCCGGCTCTTATGAACAGCAGCGGAATCGTTTACACATGGCAAAAGTGAAGTTACCATGCGGCAAATCGGTCTCGATTTTCGAGGTGTTGAAGTGACTTGTAGACGAGAAAATATGGCGTCAGGGCGAAAACCGATTTTGTTGGCGAGTCGCCAAATGCCTTCTTGCCAGCAGGAATGCCGGTGCGCCAGGTGACGCGTTCGTTACCGCCGCCTTCAAGCAAAACGCTTGCGATGCTGCGCTGCTTGACCATAAGGGCTTTCGTGTCAAGGTGAATTTTTGAGCGCTGGCAATCAACGCTACTTCGGACTTCCGGTTTGCTGGCGCGTTTGATTACCACCTTAAAACGATCGCTACAGCGCTCTGCATGTTGCCGATCTTTGTCAAAAGTTGAGGAATTCATGCCTGGACGCGTCGTTATCCAGCCGTGGAGTCTCCTCGCTGGAGCTGGGGTAGTCGTCGAAATTGGTTGTGTCGCCCGCACACGCCAAGGTCGGCACGAACGGGGCTGGTACCTGCTTCAGCGGGACGGCGTCCCAGTCTACATTCTCGAACCATGCATGTTGCTTGATGGCGTCGACCTCGCTTAACCTCTTACCTGGATCACTCTGCAGCATATTGCGAAGTAGATCCTTCAAAGTGCTTTGCATGAACCTCGGCCAGTAAATTTTGCCCGACAGGATGCGGGTGTACAATTCAAAGTGCGACTCATTCTTTCGCGACGTAAATGGAGGCGACCCAATCACCATTTCGTACACGACGCATGCGAACGCCCACCAGTCTACTATGCGAGAATAATTACGTGCTTGGTGAGATACTGTGAGTTGCTCCGGTGCCAAGTACTCCGGCGTCCCCACACTGGACGAGGTTCGCTCGTTCGGACTGTGAAGTCGCTTGACGAATCCGAAATCCACGATCTTAAGATGTCCACTAGCGTCTAGCAAAATATTCTCAGGCTTTAGATCGCGATACATGAAGTGGTTCGTATGACACGCTTCAATGAATACGACGAGCTCTGTAGCGTAGAATTTTGCTTCGTCGTTGGATAGACGTCCAACTGCATGGAGTCGATGGAAAAGCTCTCCACCTGGGATATACTCAAGCAGAAAATGCACATGTGAAGACGTGGCCAAGCTCCCGAAGAACAGGACCGAGAAGGGATGTCGAATTGCGGTCATCTGTTCCATCGCGTCTCGCTCGGCTTCAAGTTGCGGGATCATCTTTTTTGCAATCACATCTTTCTTCTTGACTGACTTGAGGACGTAGTAAAGGCTAGAACGCTTGTGCCGAACCAGACGCACCTTTCCAAGCATACCGGTGCCAACAATGTCCAGCAACTCAAAGTAATTTTCCACACTAAAAGGCTTTGGTGGCATGTCTAATTTCGTGCCGATCCAGGATGTGTCGTCATTTACCTTGTCGCCCTGAACCTCCGGAGCCTCCCCATATCTGTAGTTCGAGTTTGACGCGCAATCGACAGATGCAGCGCCGCCCATCTATAATGCACGCCTTGAGATGAGGTTAAACGCATCTACTTCCGAGTGACAGACTGGAAACCGCTCCTTCGACCAAGTCACCTCAAAATACAAATATCCGTTAGACGTCAAACTCCATTCTTTGGTTACCTGAATGGGATACAATAGTCGAAAAACTGGGCTTGGGGATGCAACACAATATTGGAGACGAGTACTTCACTTGTCTAGGAGTCATTTTTCTCTATCGGGAATGGGTGGGCTTCCGTGTTGAAGACGATCTTGTCCAGAGGCAGCATCGAGTCGTCCGAAAACAGTAGGAATAGATACTTGAGCGTCTCGGCGATGAAGAAGCTCTCCATTTCGTTGCGGAAACCAATGTGAATGGGGCCCTTTGCCACGTTGCCAATACTCGCATATCCACCGCGTTCTAACCGACAGTTCTTCTCGAATGCCTTCATGATTTCACGGCCGTATTCACGGTACTTCTCATCCTTCGTGACGCGATACAGCACCATCAGACTCTCCACCGTTTCAGGGCGCAGGAGATTAAATGCGTCGGTTGCACTGACGAGCAAATCCTCTTCGACGTTCTCCTTCATGTTGAAGTACATGATCTCAGGGGCGAGCTTAGCCTCCATCTGAGCGTACATTTGATAGCAGGTCTCCATAAGCTGCTTTGCCAGTGTGAGGTGTTCCTCCGGCATGCCGTTCTGGTATCCAAGCGCCAGCATACCGGGCACAAAACACACCAAATGATCCATCTTAGGCTCAAACTTGCCATATACGAGCTCGCCGATGAAAACGAAGCCGTTGGGTTTTGATTTACCCAAAAGCTTGTCTGTGATGCCATCCACCGCGGTCATGTATTGCGTCTTGAACTTGTCGTCCTTCTTGCCCGACAGAAGCCACTACATCGGGTACAACCGCAGAATAAGTTAAATCATTACCTACCCTGGGGGTTAAACAGGGGATTCGTACCTGTTTCAACAGGTACTCGTAGTAGCTGTCACCGTTTGCACCTAAAGTGATTTTGGACGTTGTAATCTTTCCGCTCTGCTGATTAATCTGAACTGGCAAAAGTCCATTCGTGTATTTGTCCTCCACTTGCTTTGCAAGCTATGCAGTGATAACAGTTCGATTAGTTGTGCTTAAGGCCACCCGACATTTAATCATAACGTACCGAGTCGGAAATACGCTCAACTTGATCATGGTACTTAGGGTATCCAGTAAGGCGAGCTAGATACTTGAACTCCATCTGCAACGTGCCCACCTCTGCTAATGAAGGAGCAGCCCGTGTGTGTTTGGTCTATATATCACAAAGAACGAAATCTATAAGCATCTTTTGCCATCCTTTCCCAATCGGCAACGTAAGCCACGTACCACAATATCAAAATCCTTGGCAGGCACTCCATGTTCATACACCTCAAACGCCGGCGATAGCGCCATTCCCAACTTATTCGCAATGGTAAGTAGATGCACGTGGCCCGACATGTAGTACGACGACAATAGTCCTCCCATCAGGCGAATTGTCGTCTCAAAGAAGCTGATGAATCCACTGAGGAAGATCCTCTGCTCCATATTGTTAGCGACCCATTCACTCGCTCGATCGAACTCGTCGAACATTCCCACAAGATACAGTGTGTCCAGTGCATCTACTAGTGTCAACGCCATATCGTGATCCGGCAGTCCCGTACCCTTGTACGTCTTGACATTCAACGAGTCATGACCATACGCGTACTCCGAATAGCCCTTCCATGCCCATTGTACCATGTCGACCACCTGCTTTTGGTCCTCATTGTGTTTTGATGGATCATAGGGCGCTCGTCGTTGCTGCTCCTCCTCGTACGTCGGGTCGCTGGCCGGCGGCACGAATTCAAATGTGTCCACAGCCGGCACCGGCTCCGGTGTGTCCGCACCGCGCTCGATGCGACGCAGATTGTTCATCCATCCATTGTCGGGTTGGTTGTTAGTATTGCTGCGCTGTGTGTTTACGACGCTGGAGCTCCACATGACCCACTGAGCGACGATTCCAACACAGAGGAGACCCAGGAACAATCGCAGCACCACTGCGGTGGACATTGAGCGAACTGAAGGGGCATTGCGACTGCCGCCTCGACTGTAGCTTTTGGCAGGATACTGTTGTGGTGCCAAGGGGGGCATCGTAGGCTCGCGGGCATTGCTGAGGCGACGGGCACGCGGCTCCATGTTGACGCAGTATGCAATAAGCGGGTTCAATTGACTAGTCACTAAAATGAAGGAAATCAGATGATAATTTTGACCAATGAGGAGGGTCCTAGATTGGTGGGTAAGAAACTGTTAACTTACGTGTATTAGGAAGGATGGAAAGCGGGCAAATGACGAGGAACAACTTGTTTATGCGTGTCAATTGAGAGCATGCTGTGTCTTTCAGAATCGCTGATGGGTGGAGGAAGCTCTGTTATCTTCGATAACTCGGCGGACGCGTGCGCTCCTTGAGAAAACGACGAGTGACCGATCCGGGTCTCGCCATCGGGATCCTGATGCCCCTGCATATCAATGAGTGTGGATGAAACCAGTTTGTGCTGATCAAGAGTGTTTTTTTTTTTTTTATAAAGAATGAACAAACAGGTACTACCTTCAAGCGGGTTACAAGTTTGGAAAAGATGGGTGAAGTATGAGTACATCACGGGGATTTAGTTCAAAGCGTGCAGAGTCTGTCGGTCTGGAAGAGGAGTGGTGGAAGTTCTTTTCTTTCCGCTGGTCCAGTGGACGCGCGGAACGCTTGCCTAGTCTTCCGATCGGGATCCTGACGCCCCATGCGTATTGATGCGACCGGTCAAGAGTGTTTAATAACGAGGATGAAGAAACACAATGTGATCAGTGTTAGCAACAAGAAGATGCAGCGCTCAGGCCGCGTGTTGCGCTGATACTTCTCGGCTCGCTCGAGCTGACCCAGTCCGGATCGCATTCTTTCGACGACCTGATATTATAAAGGCGAGCAGAACAGAGGAGTTAACTCGTTGTACTACAAGAGTCGTGGTGAACGTAGCTACAGTGTTACCTGCTCCATGTTGTAATCGATCCGGTCGATGAGTGTGCCTTGATCGATCACCATCTCGGCCACTTCCTTGAAAATGGTTGCCAGCGTTGCCACCGACTTCGCTATACGTTGGATTTCAATGTCACGAGTCCGTATGTCGTATTCTGTGTGGTCCATTGCCAAGGCGGTGATCTTACTCCCGAATCGGTAGCCCCCACCTGTCACCCCCTTTTCCATTGCATCTACGTCGAAAATTTCGCTTCCGAATTTTTGCACCTGCAGACGCTGAAGATACTCGCGCTGCCTCGTTCGAAACTGCATAGATATTTGCTGCAGTCGACCTGCAATGGCTCGTTGTGTGTTCAAGCGAACGAGACAATCTGCTGGTGATGGACTCGTCTCGCCCCCAACAAAAGCGCTGGTAATTTTTTTGAGTGATCGATCTGCCTTGTGGAACAATGCTGTGATCTCCTCGGTAAGGCAATTGATCTCGTGCTCTTGCTGGACCTCCGAATCGTCAAACCGGATCATTAATCTCCGAGTATGTAGCAGCTGCAAATATTCCACTGCAGCAGCGGCAAAGACCACGACAACACACCAACCACCAATTATTAGTCATCTCCGGGATCAAACCTGCAAACGATCCGTTTCAACTTCCGTACATTTCGCGTGCAGGAGGCGAATGGATTCATCTGCGCTGTCCGCAAATCGTGTCCACTCCGGTTTGTGGACATCACTGTGTTCTCCGGGAAATTCATCTGCGTCCTGAAGCAAAGCCTTCTCCATCGCCTGCGATTTGTTTCTCTGACACCAGCAATGTCATTCTTACATTAGACTGCGGCGATGACCCTGGCAATCATTACGCTACCTGCTTCGAGAGAAACAGCGCGCCCAGCAGTGGCGAGTTGTCCAGCCGTGGTCGCATCTGAAAGCGCAAGTTGCGCTTGCGCAGGTTCGCTCGTCGCCCCAGGAAGCGGCCAGTCAGATCGCGATACGCCATGGTCAGGTCTGAACTATCGAATTGGTGGAAGATCGGCAAACGGATCTTGAAACGTCGCGGGCATCTCGCATTGGTCTAAATTATGCAATTTATCAGCCAATCTATGGTCCGTAAATCCACAAGTTCAACCTCGAAGGTGTCCATTGGCGCGACTCCAAAGACCTTCACTCCGATTCCGCACTCCATGGCGGAAGCTCCTGGTGTCGGCGTGGGCTCAGCGCCGACGCTGCGCTGGAGCAAGTTGGAAGCGGTAGCTAGACGCAACGAGGAGCCCCCGACTCGCCGCTCAGGTCATTCACTGTCCATCGTGGGATCCAGCGGCTACTTGTTCGGCGGCTGTGACTATGCGGAGCCTCCTGGTCCAACCAACGACCTGTTCGCACTTAAGATAAACGCCAACGCTCCGAGCGAATGGGAGCGACTACGCTCGCCCCTGAATGGCGCGTGGCCGCCACCACGATGGAAACACTCGGCCACGGTCGTGGACAACAAGATCTACATCTTCGGCGGCTTTCAAAGCAGCTCCGCGAGGTTCAACGACCTGTGGATCTTTAATCCCATTACACTGGACTGGAGTCAATCTGGAGCGGGCTCTGGAGGTCTCAACAGCAATATTCATCGTGCTAGTGTGGCCAAACCTGTGGCTGCAACACTGCCAGCACCAAGGGGAGCCCATTCAGCGGTAGCTATTCGACGCAATATTTACGTGTTTGGAGGGTACGGAGGAACTGGATATAGCAGAAGAGACTTTGACGACTTGTATATGCTACGTACTGATGATCTGAGCTGGACTAAAGTAACATACAAGGGAAAGCCACCGGACAAACGAGCTGGCCACCAGGCTTGTGCAGTAGATGATCTAATGCTAGTGTGCGGGGGCTGGAATAGTGTGGCACAGTTCAACGACTTGCACATCTTTGACTCGACGGTGAATTCGTGGACTCTGGTGGAAGGCACTCATATGGCAACGACGCTACCGAGATGGAATCACGCTTGTTGTGCTGTGTTAGCTATTCCACACGCGAAAGTTTTCGTGTTTGGTGGTGTTGTTGGAGAATCCAACAACTACAATGCGCAAGGGAGTTATATGAACGATCTGAGTGTGCTTGATACGGGTGAAATGAGCTGGAGCATCCCAGAGATTGAGGGCACCCCACCCTGTGGACGAAGTGACACTACACTAGCCTACGATGATAAGGGCAGTCGCCTGATTGTTTTTGGTGGGTGGGCTAATGCATGGCTCAATGACATTTTCTACCTAGATGTAAGTTGCGTCGTTGGACCCCCGTATGGTATTACAGGCATTTTCCCGGACTTTGGACCGATTACGGGTGGTACGCCTTTGGTCATAGAAGGCATTGATTTTGTCAATAAGGCGGTGACCATCAGATTCTCGTGTCGAAAGGGGGCAGTGGATGTTCCAGGTGAATATATCAACGACCACACGTTAAATGTTGAAACACCTGACTTCACCGCGTATCCGGCTGGAGATGTTCAGGTCCGCGTGGCACTACAGGGTGATTCGTTCACGACGACTTTTCAAACGTATAACTATTTTTCTGTTACTCATGCGCCTCTGTGTTTTGCGTATGGCCCTGGTGTACTATCTGGAGGAGCAAGTGGAGAACCTACTTGTTTCATTGTTCAGGCAAGAGATGCTCAGCATAACTTGCGGACGCGTGGTGGGGACGAATTCATTGTCGAAATCTCTGCAGATGAGTCAGGTCCAATGTTCTTGCCGAGCTTGCAAATCCAAGACCTGATTAACGGCAAATACTTAGTTAGTTACACCGTTCCGAGCCCTGGGGAATACCAAGTCAAAATCGAGTTCCAAGGCACTTTTGGTGGCAACGCAGGACTGATCCGTGGATCACCATACACGGCTACGTTCGATGATATTGTCACCCGTGAGATGAATTTAATGACAGGAAAACTCGTGCTGGATCAAGTGTTCCATGATTTACAAGGACTCCAGCAGTCGACGCGAGAGTGCAATATCGGTCTGGAACAACCTTTGTCAGATCCTACCTGGACGCCCGATCAAGTCACAGCTGCGTTGATTCAACTAAAAGAACATGTCTTCATGGTCGAGAAGCGCGGGGAAGCGATATCTTTATCGATTGAAGAACTCCGAGCAGAGATCGCTTTTCTTAAGGACGCAGGAATTGTTGTAACAAAGGAGCAAGACATACTGATGGCGATTGAAAATGCTTGGGGGGAGGTTCTGAAGAAGGTCCCAGCTGCAAGTAATCGCATCGCACCATTAATAACGACACAAAGTGTAAAGTTCCGCGACGAGGTTGCTAATTACATGGAAGAGTTGCAAGCAAAAGAAGCACAGATCAAGACAAAGAGTTTCTGGAGTTATTCTACTGGCGTCAATGCTTCCATTACGTTAATCAAAGAAGAGCAGATAAATGCAGAAAAGGATGAAGTCGTATTGAAGCAGAAAAAGCATATTGCAGAGATACTGGAGTGCGAAGAGTTGATGGATCCTTGTGCTTCCATTTTGTCGTCTATCCAGCGGACACTTGGACATTGTCATCAAATGTGGGAATCCATTTCAGAGGTAACAAGAAAAATTGATTTATCGAGAGAAATTCCGTGGAGCATGATCGATGGGATTGTATTGGAGGAAGAAGCCAAGGCATTTCTATCGCTGGTGAAAGCTACTCATAAGGACATCCGGGATTGTGACGCTTTCAAAAAGTTTGAGCGACTTGTTAAAGACTTCCTGAGCACATGTCCACTGTTTCAAGCTTTACGTCATCCCTCAATGCGAAGACGCCACTGGCAGGATCTCATTGCAGTCACGGGGAAGACTTTCGAGTGCCCAGACGACAACCCATCTCTTAAATTTACAGACATTCTGGCATTGAACTTGCATGAATTTCAGCGTGACGTGGAAGAAATCACAGACCGGGCGCAGAAGGAGGCCAAGCAAGAGTCCGTTCTGCAAGAACTTGAAAACCGCTGGTCGAATATCTGCCTGACAATGACACCGTATAAAGACACGACAGTACCGTTACTTCACATGGCGGAAGATGACGTAGAGATGCTGGAGTCTGACCAGTTGCTTGTGCAAGGCATGGCGTCAGGACGGAATAGTTTCTTTCAAGAGCAGACACAACAGTGGCGATCGAAGCTCATGCTCGTTTCCGAAATTGTCGGAGCGCTGCTGGATATTCAACGATCATGGTCGTATCTGGAGCCACTCTTCATGCAATCGGAAGAGGTTAAGCGGGAGCTCCCTGACGAAGCCACAAGGTTCGAAAAAGTGGACGAGCTCGTTCGGCAAACGCTGGAGCAGATGTGGGATCAAGAGCCACCGGGAAATGTGTTGCTAGCCTGTCAGCTCCCTGGCTTGCTTGAATTGCTGAATGACCTACGTGCGCGGTTGGAAAAATGTCAACAAGCGCTGAAAGAGTATCTGGACTCTAAACGTCGCATGTTTCCGCGCTTTTACTTCATCTCCGAAGCTGACTTACTTGATATCTTATCGAACGGTAGCAACCCGCAGAAGATAATGATTCACCTTGAGAAGGTATTCCTGGCTACACATACACTTCTATTGGAGAAAGAACGGAATGGCTCAATGCTCGCTACTCACTTCATCTCCAATGACGCCGCAAAAGAGACAATCTCGTTCGAAAACAAGGTCCATCTGGAAGGCAAGGTGGAGGTGTACATGCAGACGATACTGGAGTCTATGCAACTCACGTTGAAGGGACATGTGACTCGATCAATAGCTCGATTTCCAGAGCAAAACCGATTAGAGTGGTTATTGCAAAAGGTTCTACCAGCTACAGAAGGAGCAACAAACAAGGATAACATGGATGCGGCGCAAATTGCTTTGCTTGTGGCTGGAATTGAATACGCCAGAAGTGTTGAGAGCACTTTTGAGCTATTATCAAAAGGTCACGCGACCGCCATGAAAGAGCTTCTAGACAAAATCGTGATTCAGCTTACCGATCTGATCAAGTTAACACAAACGAACTTGCCCAAGGGAGATCGCCAACGAGCAATGTGCATGATCACCATGGACGCACACTCACGAGATATTGTACAGAAGCTCCTTTACGAAGAGATCACCACGCCAAGTTCGTTTATTTGGCAGTCACAGCTAAAACAAAGACGGTCGGATCATCAAAATCACACGTACCTAGAGATCTGCGACGCCACTTTCGATTACGGATTTGAGTACTTGGGCAATGGCCCAAGGCTCGTGATTACTCCTCTGACCGACCGAATTTATGTTACGGCCACTCAAGCTCTTCATATTCAAATGGGCTGTGCACCTGCCGGGCCTGCTGGAACAGGCAAAACTGAAACGACGAAAGATCTGGCAAATATGGTGGGCAAAATATGCTACGTATTCAATTGCTCACCAGAAATGGACTATAAGAATTTGGGCAACATTTTTAAAGGATTGGCGAGTGCAGGAGCATGGGGCTGCTTTGATGAATTCAATCGACTTGCGCCAGAAGTTTTGTCGGTTTGTTCGGTCCAATTTAAGGCAGTTTGCGATGGCATTCGCAGTGAAAGCGATCGTGTTGTGGTGGAGGGGGACTCTGTCAAACTGGATCCCACCTGTGGTACCTTCATTACGATGAACCCTGGCTACCTCGGACGATCGGAACTGCCTGAAGGCTTGAAAGCACTGTTTCGACCCATTACAGTTATGGCACCCGACCTTGTACTTATCTGTGAAAATATGCTAATGGCCGAAGGATTCCGAGAAGCCAAGTTGCTAGCTGCTAAGTTTTTCAGTCTGTATTCACTACTTCGCGGACTTCTTTCTAAGCAAGATCACTACGACTGGGGTCTAAGAGCAGTCAAGAGTGTACTTGTTGTTGCAGGGTCGTTCAAACGCGCCGAACCGAAACTATCAGAGCAAGAAATCCTGATGCGTTCACTACGAGATTTCAATCTGCCCAAAATTGTGAAGCAAGATCTCCTTGTTTTTAATGGGTTGCTCAGCGATCTGTTCCCCAACCTGAACCTGCCGCGTAAAATTGACGAGTCGATGGAAAAGTACGTACACGTTGCATGTGAAGATCGCGGACTTTGGCCTCATGAGCAGTTCCGACTCAAAGTGATTCAACTCGAAGAGTTGTTGGCCATCCGCCACTGTGTGTTCATAATGGGTCCGCCGGGAAGCGGAAAGACCGAGTGCTGTGAAACACTTGTTGCTGCTCGAAAAAAGAAAGGAGAGGAGTATGTGACTAAAGTCATTGATCTCAATCCCAAGGCAGTTTCAACTGAAGACCTGTACGGCTATATGGTGCTTGGAACACGGGAGTGGAAAGATGGTCTGCTGTCTAAGATTATGCGTGATGTGGCTAGTGGTTCAGCTACAGACACTCGACCGAAATGGATTGTATTGGATGGAGACCTGGATGCAAATTGGATTGAGTCGATGAATTCTGTCATGGATGACAATAAGATGCTTACACTTGCATCAAATGAGCGCATTCCAGTCAAGCCGAATATGCGACTCCTTTTCGAAATTCGAGATTTGAAATATGCTACTCCAGCAACAGTGTCCCGAGCAGGTATCCTGTATATATCTGATGATGATGGTTTTCAGTGGAGGTCATTCTTGGCGAGCTGGGTAGCGACTAAAGGCACGTCTGTCCAGCAACGTACGGCTTTGGGAGAAGCTATGAACAAATACATTAATCCTATTATCGCGTTTGTCAAGCAATCGTGCAAGACTATCGTACCAATGCAGGAAATAACTCTGGTCCATACGTACCTCTACTTTCTTGACGCAATACTGGACGCTGAAACTCTACGGGATTCCAAGAAAGTCGATATTTTGAGCGGGTTTATCTCGGTCTGGGCATTTGGTGCTGCACTTACGATCACTGATGATGGAACAGACTACCGCAAGTTATTTAGTGAGTGGTGGAGAAGCGAGTTCAAGCACATCAAGTTTCCTGCTCGTGATACTGTATTCGACTATTGGCTTGACCCCACCACACTTTCATTCGATACATGGCGAGCTTCGCCGTACTTTAAGGCTGTTCACTTCGACGGATCTGTGTCCATGTCATCGGTAACGGTGCCTACTCCTGAGACAGCCTCAATCACGAGCTGGATGAGCATTATGGTCCGTGAAGAGCGTCCGTTCATGCTGTGCGGCAACGCAGGCACGGGCAAGACTCAGCTGATTCAAGGTTTGCTCAATAACCTTGATTGCCGGGGAGCTGCTTCCTCATCAACAACATCAACAAAAGGACCAGCTGCTAGCATGAGTGTCAACTTCAACTATTATACAAACGCCTACGCGCTCCAAGCTATACTCGAATCAAAGCTTTCGAAACGAGTAGGCTCGACGTTTGGACCTACGGTTGGTGACCAGTTAATTTACTTCCTCGACGATCTGAACCTTCCTCAAGTCGACCCGTACGGCACTCAAAGTGCTATCGCTTTACTCCGCCAGTATCTGGATTATGGTCACTGGTACGACAGGGCTAAATTCTCGCTCAAGCAGATCGTAAATGTGCAGTTTTTGAGTTGCATGAACCCCAATGCTGGAAGTTTCAGTATCAACCCACGTCTTCAACGACATTTTGTAACATTTGCGCTGCCCCAGCTCAGTGCAGCAAGCCTACAAGTCATTTACACCACTTTTCTCGAAGGTTACGTTGCTGACTTTGTTGAAGATATCCGCAAGATGTCCCAGCCTATTCTGAAAGCTGCACTAAATCTTCACGTCCAGGTGTGCAGTACGTTCCGGAAGACTGCTGCTAACTTTCATTATGAATTCAACATTCGTCATGTGGCAAATGTCTTCCAAGGCTTGCTAATGGCGAAGCCTCCGACGTTTGAAGATCCGCTAAAGTTTGCGCTGCTGTGGATTCACGAATCCGCTCGCGTTTATGGAGACCGACTAGTGTCTACGCAAGACCAAGCTAAATTCACATCTATTGTGCAGCAGCAAGCACGAAAGTGTTTTCCTGCGCTGAACTTCATGCGTTATTTTGCCCCTGTTTCTTCAGGCTCTGAAAATGGCAACGAGTCATCCCTACTTCAGACGGACCCGATACTATTTTGCCATTTCGCGAATGGTTTACGTACAAATGAGTATGATCAAGTTGTGTCTTTCCAGGTTCTGCATGCTACTGTTGAAGAAGCGTTGTCTGAGTACAATGAGCTGAATGGAAAGATGGATCTGGTATTGTTCAAGGATGCATTGGAACATATTGCTCGGATTGTGCGTATAATTTCAAACCCGTCGGGTCATGCACTACTCGTTGGTGTTGGTGGAAGTGGCCGCAAGTCATTGGCACGTTTAAGTGCGTTCATATGTGGATACTCACTAGTTGAGATTACAATTACGCAGGCGTATTCATTGTTGGATTTCAAAACGGATCTTCAGAATATGTTCGTGAAGGCGGGCGTGAAAGGCGACGGTGTTGTTTTCCTATTCGATGACAATCAGATTAAGAACGAGCGAATGCTTGTATATCTGAACGACTTGCTATCAAGCGGTAATATCCCCGATCTGTACAACGCTGACGAACAAACCAATCTAATTCAACAGTTCCAACCAAAGATGATAGCTGCGTTGGCAGCAAGTGCTGCTGCTGACCCTCAAAGCGACTCCAGTGCCGCTATGAACCTTAGTACTGAAGGTTCCGAAAAGGAGCGTGCGTGGCGATGGTTTATTCAAGAAATCAAGCGCAATCTGCACGTTGTTCTCTGCTTTTCTCCAGCAACATCCGACTTCAGGATGCGAGCTCGAAAGTTCCCAGCATTGGTGAATTGCGTGCTGATTGACTGGTTTCAGCCGTGGCCTAAAGAAGCATTGCGCTCAGTTGCTGCGCGCTTTTTATCTTTTAATAACTTTCCGCAGCTGAATCCTCCAGAACATGTTGCGGTAGCTGTACAAAACTTCATGCCGTTTGCTTTCCAGAGCACTAATACGGTAGCGAAAGAGTTCTTAGCTCACGAAAAGCGTCACGTATATTCTACTCCGAAGTCGTATCTCGAATGTCTGATATTGTATCGGCGGTTGCTAGTACAGAAGCATTCAAGTCATCAGAAAGCAATGCAACGTCTTCAAAGTGGTTTAGAAAAGATGGAGTCAACAGGAGAGATTGTAGCAACGATGGAGGAAGAGTTGAAACGAACTTTAGAAGAGGCTGAAAAGAAGAAAGTTATTGTGGAGGAGCTCGCAGCACGACTGCGGAAAGAAAAAGAAGTTGTGGAAAACGAAACAGCTAGAGCAAATGTCGAGCGTGAGAAATGCGCGGTCATTCAGACTGATGTGTCAGTAAAGAAAGCGGATACGGAAGCAGATCTAGCGCAAGCTCAGCCCATGGTTGATGCCGCGATGGCAGCTCTGGACACCCTCAACAAAAAAGATCTGGGAAGCTGCAAGACTATGGCAAAGCCCCCTGCAGGTGTGGGCGACATTTTTGGTGCTGTAGTCGTGCTTTTCGCCGGTGTGAATCCTAGCATTATTATCCAGAAAAATGGCAAAGTAAAAGACAAAGATCGGTCATGGGAAGCCTCGAAGAAGGCACTGTTGGGAAATATTAACGCGTTAGTTGAAGAGTTGAAAGGATTTAAGGAATTGGTGGATAACCAGCAGGTACCTGAAGTTAACTGGAAGGAGATCCGTCCGTTCTTACAGCTCGAGTATTTTAACGTGGAGGCAATCGAAAAGAAAAACTCAGCCGCTGCCGGACTTTGCGCCTGGGTAATCAATATTGTAGCGTATTATGACGCCATTGTGGTGGTGGAGCCCAAGAAACGAGCATTAGAAGAAGCTAATGAGAAGTTACGGGTTGCCAACGAGAGGCTTGAGCTCGTAAACCAAAAGGTAGCTGCGCTGGAAGAAAAACTGTCCATTTTGACTGAGGAGTTCGACAAGATTAATAACGAGGTTTTAGACGCAGTGGCGCAGTTGGAGAGAGGAAAGCTTCGTATGGAACTTGCTCGGCGGCTAGCAAATGCATTGGGAAGTGAAAGTGAGCGGTGGGCCCATGAACTCGAACAGCTTCGCGTAAGTGCTGACATGCTGGTCTGCGACGTGTTGATTGCTGCGAGTTTTGTTTCATATGTTGGTGCCTTCACGAAGCCCTTCAGAGATTTGCTGATCAATGACAAGTGGTTGCCATTCCTGCGTAAATCGTTGACTGACAAACTGTCAAAGGGTGACAAAGATAAGGATAAGGCACCACTTACTGCTATGACTGAAGATGGAAATCCTTTGCAAATACTTGCGACTCAATCAGAAATTGCTGAGTGGAACACCAAAGGCCTTCCGAGCGACCGCGTATCAGTTGAGAATGGCGCTATTTTGCGCAATAGCTCTCGTGCCCCACTACTGATTGATCCACAACTTCAAGGTATATATTGGCTGCGCGAAATGGAGAAGCATGCTCGACGCGCGGCTCCAAGTTCACTGCAGGTTGTGCGTCAAGACCAGCCAAATTTGACCATTCTATTGGAAACTGCAGTGGAACACGGCTACACTGTGATCGTAGAAAATATGGGTGAAAAGCTGGAAGTGTGTTTGTGGCCAGTCATTTCTCGGTCTACTACGGTGCGTGGACACAAGACGCTGTTGAAAATGGGGGACAAGTTGATTGAATTACACCCAGATTTCCGCTTTTATCTACACACGAAATTGTCGAACCCGCACTATCCTCCTGAGTTGCAGGCGGAGACAACGATGATCAATTTTGCTGTGACTCAACAAGGTCTAGAGGATCAACTTTTGTCGCTTGTAGTACGCAAAGAGTGGCCCAAGATCGCTAAAGTGCGTACTGCACTCATTCATCAGCAGAACGAGTTTAAAATACGGATACAGACGCTGGAGGACCGTATTCTGTCGAGTTTAGCGGACGCCGAAGGAGACGTGACGGAAAATGTGCAAGTAATCACAGATCTTGAAACGACTAAAGCTACAGCACAAGAAATTGCGAAGAAAGCCGCCAAGGCTACAGAATATGAGGTTCAGATAAACGAGCTGAGCGCTAAGTACCAATCGGTGGCGAACCGTGGTGCTCTACTGTTCTTTATCATGAATGGGATGCATCGCATGCATTCGTACTATGTGTATTCTCTGAATGCATACGTTGTGATCTTCCAGCGCGGTATCGATCTGGTTCAGCCAGAGAAGGACCCTGGGAGACCGCCATCTACAAGTGGGGGTGGTCTACTAGGCCGCTTGAAGGCTGCTGCAAAGAAAGTTATCGTCTCGCAACGTTTTCAGTGGAATTCGGATTTATTACTGGCAGATCGAGTGGTGGAAAACAATTCAGAGCAGGATCTGGATGTACTTATGAAAGAAACGGATCAGCAAGAAAAGCCCTCCGATGCCCAGGTCGAAGCGCGGTGCATACAGCTCAAGAATTCCATTACCGATGTCGTTTTCAATTACATTCGTCGTGGCCTCTTTGAGAAGGATAAACTGACTCTTGCCACACAATTATGCTTTGCGATTTTGCGGTCAGAAATGAAGATCGAGGCTGTCGATGTACGGCAGCTTGTTACTTGTGGCACTGCAAATGACATGGGGTCAGGAATGGGACTTCTTAGCGAGTGGATGGCCGAGACAACGTGGCTCCGCGTGCGTAAACTTGAGGAAAACATTACTGGATTGCAAAAGCTTACAACATTCATGCGTTCGGATAGTGACGAGTGGAGAGAATGGTGCGACGCGGAGAAGCCAGAGTTGAAGCCCCTTCCAGGACAGTATAAAACATCGATCACTCCTATCCAGTTGCTGCACCTTGTACGCGTATTGCGTCCGGATCGAATGATCTTTGCACTGCGATCGTTTCTCAGTGATACCTTCGGGAAGCAAATGGTACAGCAGCCACCTTTTGACATGGAGGCTGCGTATCAAGAAACAAGCGCTTCAACGCCGATGTTTTTCGTGCTATTCCCTGGTGTGGATCCGACTTCGTGGGTGGAAGCTCTAGGCAAAAAGTTCGAGTTTACGTACGAACGAGGAAATCTTACCAACATTTCAATGGGTCAAGGGCAGGAGGAATATGCCGACAATGTGCTCATGAAATCCTCACGAGAAGGAAGCTGGGTGATCCTTCAGAATATCCACCTTATGCAGTCATGGGTACCGAGGTTGGAGCGCACGCTGGAGGTCTATTCTGTCTCGGCAGACCAGAATTTCCGGTGTTTCCTATCATCCGAGGGGCCAGCATTAGCATCCCTCAGTAATCTGCCGGAGTCGCTACTTCAGAGCTGCATTAAGGTTGCAAACGAAGCTCCGACCGACCTGAAAAGTAACTTGCGTCGTGCATGGGCCAATTTCTCAGTCCAACAACTCGAAGATTGCGCACAGCCGAACGAGTACCAAGGCTGCTTATTCGCGCTTTGTTTCTTCCACGCGCTGGTATTGGGACGACGGAGATTTGGTTGCCAGGGATGGAGTCGTCCGTACAGCTTCAATACTGGAGATCTACTTATCTGCTCGGATGTACTGCGGCGGTACCTTGACACGGCTGCTGCTAGCAGATCCAGGAGCTTGCCCTGGGACGACTTGCGCTACATTTTCGGAGAAATCATGTATGGAGGTCATATCACGGATCATTGGGATCGTATAACCAACAACACTTATTTAAACGAAGTCTTCACCCGAGAAATACTGCAGGGCAAGGAGCTCACTGCTGGCTTCAAGTGCCCCGATCCATTCACTTACAGCTATACCAAGTACGTTGACTACATTGAAACAAAATTGCCGAGCGAATCACCAACAGTGTATGGACTACATCCAAACGCGGAGGTGGGGTATTTGGTGGAGGCAGCTAACGAACTATTTGCAACCATTGCCAAATTCCAGCCATCTACAGGGCCAACCCCCTCTCCTAGTGGTATTGCATCGAAGAATGCAGGAGGATTAGCAAATGAGAACTCCCAAGTATACGCGATTGTCGAAGAACTACTGGAAAAACTGCCACCGGAGATCGACCTCGCCGACTTGCAAGCAAAGGCAGAACCGTTGTTGACAACGGATCAATCCCCATACGTCGTGGTGGCACTACAAGAAGCAGCTCGCATGCACACGCTGCTGCATGAAATCCAGACTAGTTTGATCGAGCTTACAAAAGGAATCCAAGGCACGTTAAACATGACAGAACCCATGGAGGATCTCATGGCTGCTCTGTTAATCAATCAAGTGCCTGGACGAAATGTCTTGCACATGTGTTCCTGGGAACGATACGCATGGTGGTCTCGCAAGTCGTTGTCTCTTTGGTTCGCTGATCTGCTGGATCGTATTCAGTTCTTATCCAACTGGACTAGTGAATTCCGGTTGCCGTATTCGATGTGGATCTCGGGTTTGTTCAATCCAACAGCATTCCTCACTGCTATCAAGCAGTGCTCGGCACGGACACACGGTATTCCACTTGATTCGATGGCTATTGAGACCCATATCACTCCTATTACTGAAGCTGAGGGCGCCGAATCCTATCCTGAAATGGGCACATACATCCACGGTTTGTTCATGGAAGGCGCGCGATGGGAGTTCCCAATGAAAGACGGAGAAAAGACATCACCGTTCTCGTATGACGTTGATTCCATTCCTTGTGGTGGTCATTTGGTGGATCCAATGCCGAAGGAATTATTGCCTGCTACCCCTGTTATCTATGCACGAGCTGTGGTGATCGACAGCAAGTGGGAGGCGACAGCGGTGGGGCATTTCCGACGAAACAAGGACGTGTTTGACTGTCCTGTGTACCAGACAACACTGCGAGGACCGACGTATGTATTCCTTGCTACACTCAACACCATCCACCCGAAGGCGAAGTGGACATTGGCAGGCGTGGCACTTGTCATGCAGCGAGATTCGTAACAACTCATAAGGCAGTAAACTTGACGTCACTTTTTTTTTTTTTTTTTACCAGATACAGGTCTGTGTGCTACATCTTAAGCCTGCTTGGGGTTGAAGAGCTTTGGCATTTGCTGCCAGCATTTCCAGTAGTTCTGGTCGTTGTGGTCGCAGTGCAGCGCATAGTCCGTCAACTTGACCAGGTACGTCGACTCGAACATGAACGCCAGTCCACCATCGAACTTGTGAGGTTTAAGCTCCGCATTGGAAGCAGCGAGGAACGTAGCAGCGTCTGGACCGTGTGGCGTGTCGACGCTGTGAAGAGAAGCACCGCCAGGCGCAAACCCGTCCTCGCCTCCCTTTTTGGCGTCATAGGTGCCGTAGATCATACCCATATACTCGCTCATACAGTTGCGGTGGAAGTATGGCGGACGGAACGTGTGTTCTTGAACCTATAAATGAAAAGTTAGAGAAATAAATGACACTTTAATGATGATAAAACTGAATAACATACCATCCATCTCGGCGGAAAAATAACGAAGTCTGCGACGGCATTGCCTGGCTCCTCCGTTTGGCACGTGAGGACACAGTAGATCGAAGGATCCTGAAAATATTTAAAGTTTGTTAGCAAAATACTTTGGGAATGGGATAATAGTTTGCAATTCTTCTTACCGGGTGGTCGAAGCTCACTGAGTTCATCGTGCAGAATTTGTCCAGATTGTATTTATACGGCACGTAGTTTCCATGCCAAGCCACGACGTTGAACGGAGAGAAGGCCATACGAGCGGAGAACAGTTGGCCACCAAACTGAAAAAAAAAAAAACGATTGTGAGACTCAGTCATTTTTCCACGATGAAATAATGGAAAAGAGCATACTTTGTTGACGACCAAGTATTCGCAGTCGCGATCTTCGTAGGCAGCGCTCGGGTGTTCGAAATCCCGCGGGTTGGCGAGACCATTAGCGCCAATAGGACCAAGATCTGGCAGGACGAAGTGACGGTTGTACACCTCCAGAATGTAACCGCGAGAAGGACCGTCCAGCTCAACCGAGAAGCGAATTCCGCGCTAAAACATAGCGACATTCAAATCTAGATCAGCAAAAGCATCATTTTATTCTACATCATCGCATAATCCGCACCTGAATGACGCAGATCTCGTGCGGTGACACTTTAAGTCGACCAAATTCCGTCGTAATTTTGAGATCGCCAGTCTGAGGAACTGCAGTAACCACAATATTAGCACCAAGCTAAAACAAATCCAAATATCAACAACGCACCGATCAAAAAGTCTCCATCCGAGTTGTAGAAGCACTTGTCGTTCATGGACACATTGGCAGCGTACATGTGGATGGCCATTCCAGCCTTCATTGTCGGATCTCCAGCTCCACCTAAAATAACCAACCATTAGTCAGTCAAACACTTGGTGCGACAGTTGCAATAATAAGCGATCCTTACCAATGGTGCGTAGTCCTTCGATAAAGTCCAATTTCTCCGAGTCTGCAGGGAAGGGCATAGGCTTCCATCGCATCTGCTGCGGCGTGAGCTTCTCCTTGGCAAAATCAGCCTTGACAAACGGGTGATCCACCTCCTGATACTTCTCATGCACCACTGGCGGCAGGATACGGTACAGCCAACTGTAGAGTATTTCCACGTCAGTCTGACACCTCACTAGCCATACAATAATTGCAATCGACAACTCACCTGCGCTGGTTCTTGTGGCGCGGTAGCGTGAACGCAGTGCCCGAGAGCTGCTCTGCGTACAGACCGTATGCGCACTGCACCAAACACCGTTAATATGAATTAATAACTGATAATAATGCTGGAAATGGATGGCGTTGCAACCTTTTGCGGGTTATTCTGTGCCTTGGGGAGCGCGTTCGGCAGCGCCTCGGAGCAGAAATCATTGCCGAAGCCCGGCAGATACGACAGCGAGTCCCACGAGGCTTCAGTCATAGCGGAGTAGCGAGTAGCGAGTGGCGAGAATAAGTGGAATCGTCAAATGAGCTGCTCGTGAGCAGGAGCTTAGGGCTGGTTGAAGCATTTTGGTCCAATACAAACGGCAAGATAAACTTTGGACTTCAACGAGGTTTTGTTTCGACGCATGCCCCGTTTTGACGCAAGGCGTCATATTACAAATTTTAGACGCCGAAGCCATGAGCAGCACAAAGTGTTAAGGCCTGACAGACTCTTGATCCTTTAACCAGCACTCCAGCAGGGAAGGTGGCGATTTCGATGAGTTTGGCGAGGTGCAGCATGACGCGACCGTGCTTTACATGTAGGGAGGGTTCTAAAACTACTAAATCCATTTAGACTCTGTAAGATTTTAGAGGTCTTCGAGATGGACATAAACAGATCCATATGGCTACATTTGAAGTAATACATGTACTACTACTAAAGCGCTGTCACCAGTGATTCGCTAGCTTCGGCTGCGCCTTGTAGTTGAGTATCCTTTCGTCGAGTGTGTATCGCCGATATCGATCCAGATCGCGTTCTTCCACGTGGATTGCACTTCTTGCATCAAAACTAGCATTAACTTTTACTGGAGACGCTTTAGGACTTGGGACTGCCACCTTCCGGGTCATTGCTTTGACCCCAGCGCATAAAATGCAGTTGGCGAGCGAGTGGAGAGCACACTTGGACTGGGTATCGCCCTGATAACTGAGGTTTGCAGAACTCGCTGGTTGGCTGTACGTGTAGGTAGATGCTGCAGTTGACGTCACCGTAGCTTTAGTGATACTACAGACCGTACTGCCCTTCGAGCAGATGAAGCAGCGTAGCAGTTGATGTTTCGCACAGGATCCATCCTGCGATTTCCGGGCCATTTCAGGTGAATTGGACGTCATAGAACTAGTCGTGAACTCCTTGGTTGGTTGTCGGCTGGGGACTTGCGTTGGTCGACAACCGCCACCCACTGAGCACAACATACATCCGGCGAGCTTGTGTTTTAGGCACACGTCAGTCATGGTGCTGATTATTGGTACGCGCACGGGCGGGCTGTACGCGATGCTTCCAGTGCTAGCGTTCTTCACTAATGGAAAGGTCTCTTGTCTCTGAACAGAGCTACTGTAGCCATTTACTGGGCTCGGATTGGCGTGTTTCTTGATGCTTTCTTGATGCTGGGTCAAAATTGTTGGCATCGATTTCGACGCCTGTATTGAAGGTGTCCATTCGGTACAAAAACTTGCTGCAGAGCTCGAATACGTCGAAGAGTTTTTAGTTAAAGCCAAGAATAGCGTGGGTTCATTTGGCTGGTAAAGTACAGGGGATACGCGCAATCCAGAACCTTGCTGTCTGGTTTTACCAATGACAGGTGCTTCGCCCACGCGACTTTCGTCCAAAGCACCCCAGCATGGGTTTTGGTTCATCAGGGGCTTCATATCTGGAGGTGCTGGCTGGGATTCGGCAGGGTCCTCGACTTGATTGGTAGCATCGTGTGCTGAATCACTCTGATCAGACGCACTCTTGTTGCTTTGGGTCTCCTTTACTTGTGGATCTTTGCTGGAGCTCAGAGCGTATCGTTCAAGAACTTGCTTGTACGCTCTACCAGCGGTACCATTGTCACGTCCAGCTCTTGTAAGGTTCTTTCGCGATCGAGACTTTCGCACTGCAGGAATGGATGAACTCTGACGTTTAGATCCTTGAGTTACCGTCACATTTTCAATACTCTTGCTATCATTCGTGTCGATTTGCTGTTCTAAGTCCTTGACTCGACTCTCTAAAGCTCGAATTTTCTTGACATCTTCTTCTCTCCACCTCTGGAAAACCACATTATCTCTCGTCAACTTCGTGATCTCTTTATCCTTCCCTTTAAGTATTTCCTGCAGTGTCTGATGCTCCTTCACTCGAATTTCGTGTCTCCTTCGCTGTTCGCTTTCCAGTCGTTCCCGTAATTTCACAATCTGGATCTTTGCCATCAGCAATTCAGTCGAGCCATCCACCACCTCATTCACTCGAATTGTCTGCATCACGGACCTCGCTCGGTCTGCGAACTGCAGTGTCCGAATTGTCTCGTCACACGCCTGCTGTGTAGCGTTAATCGTCGCTATCAAACATGACAGAGTGTTCCCACCGAAAGAGTCCTGTAACACACGAGTCAACGTCGAATCTCGATACGGGATGTGCTTCCTGCCTGTCTCGGTCAATGCCGCAATGCAGTTCCCCAATGCCGACAAGCTCGTATTGATAGTTTTCAGCTCCTGTGAGTGCGCGTCTTCCATCTGTACGTCCGTATTCCACTTCTCCGAGCCTGCAAGGTCCACCAGGTTCAATCTCGCTCTTCGAACGACTTGTCCTTCTCCATTTAGCGCAGGACACTGCGTCGTGATGTTTACTTGTACGATAGCGTGGCTTCTACTGCTTGAAAGATTCGACTCAGTCTCACGAACGCATCGATTGGTGTGGCCTTGGTGGATAATTTGCATGGCGTTTGAGAACGACGAGATCTTCTCGCTTGATAGTCCTCGAATAATAACACTAGTCGTGCCATCGATCATTGGCTGCTCGCGAAGAAGAAGAGGCTTCTGCCTCATGCGATCAGTGAGGAGATCAAACAGACGGTCGTTGTAGATCTGCAGGAAGCTCAAGTGCAGCTCGACTTGGCAGTTCTTGTGCTTCAAGATCGCCGCCTGGCCCAGCAAATAGCTGAGTGTGCGGGGAACAAGTCCCCACTCCGTGCTGTCTCGAGAAGAATCCAAGTCTCGACCGAATAGAGTGTGCGTCTTGCCTGTGCCGGTTTGTCCATATGCGAACACGGTGGCGTTGTATCCTTCCAGGCACGCTTGTACACTCGGTTCGATAGCTGCAAATACGTCCTCTTGCGTCGCATCACCCATGAACACTCGATCGAACGTGCACTCCGTCACTGTACTGCTGGTTCCTTGAGAAGTTATTGCTTGCACGCATAGACTAACACCCTCCTTCTCACCCGCAGTGACGACGATCTTGTCTTCGGAATTCAATGGGAGCCGGACACGAACTACAACTTGGATTCGCCGGTGCACGCTAGTATCTGCACTCGCGGTGGTCGTGGAACAATGATTCGCTAGCCTATCGGTATCATCCTGCTCAATCGCGGCTTGATGAAGGTCGCTATCCCCTGGCTGGTCATCTTCCTCGTCGCTATGGTCATCTGTCGAGTTGTCTGACGCCTCGTGTTGGTCTAAGGCAGCGTCAGAAAACAAATCCCAATCGTCGCAGTCGTGTACTTCCTCCCTGCTATCGATTGAGCCCGCAGTCGATGGCGCTGGGCTGGCAAACAAGCTCGTTAGTCCGTCAAGGCTGTTGAACTGCGCGGATTCTCTCTCATCTGTTCTCTCGCCTTCGGTCGTTTCGCTCATATCGCCTTCACCTGCTTTGACATCGCTCATGCACTCAAATAAAATAATTCAACTCCAACGTACTCTAAAAATATTATGGCCGTTTGGGTCACTGTGCTGTTATTTACCACACCTTTTGCACACCGGCAGCTCGCACTAATCCTGCTATAAATCAGACAACACGAACGTCAGTACGAACGTAGTGCATAGCTGCATCCTCAATAAAGTACGTACCACCAGTTCAGGGAAATGTTCAGCGACAACGAAGTCGAAGTCATCGACTTCCTTGGGCACCGCAAGGTTCTCCCACACCTTCGTTTGCGTCTCTACCTCATCTTGATTCTCTTCCTCATTCTCCGAGTCCTCTTGGTTAAAGCGTAAAGACTTTCGTCGAGAACTCCGACGTGGAGTGTGATCCCCATTGCTCGAACCAACCGAATCAGCTCGCGTTCGACGGCGCTTCGGACTTCTTTCTGGAGTAACTGGAGTAACTGGAGCTTGTGGAGCCGAGCGCTTAGCAGCACGAGTAGACCGACCTCCACTTGCAGCGCGAGGGCTGTTTCGGACGCGGTTTCGCGAGTTTCGCGGCGGCGTAGGAGCCACCTTTGCACGATGCGGAACGTCTGTCAAAGCCTCCCCTGTCAACTCGTAATACACTTCCTTCATGTGCGGAGTCGGCCGCTTTTTCAAGATCACGTCAATGGATAACTCCACAAGTGGCAGCTTGCAAAGATTCAACAGTCGTTTGTGTTGACGATCTCGTTGACGGGACATTTCCAGCAGCATTCTTCCACGCTCCAGTGAGCGCCGCAGATCTTGCAGTTGGCCTAAAATCTCCTGGGTGATCCACGACTGGCGGTTGACGTCGAAAGCTGCATCGGGTGGCGGGTGCGCCTCACAGTAAAACTTCCAGTCCGTGCGATTCGACCGAGCGCAGTAGAGTTTCTTCTGTGCAGCACAAATCGGGTGGAATCGGCGATGACACTGCGCACAATTGGCAAGCAATCCCTCTTTCTTGTCGCACAGCTCGCATCGCGTCGCCATCCCTTCATTTTTTAAAGTAGGAGTGTACGCACACAGCATGTGCTGTCTCTTGACCGTCTTCGCTTTCTGCCACTTGCTGCAGTACACGTGGATCCATTTGTTCAGCGAAGGGTGAGACGCTACGCCGTTGCTGTCCGGTCCCTTGAGTTGCGATGGAATTTTGTTGCCTGAGTTGGGCTGTCCTTGCATTTGCCGCTGCATACTCTGGTGTGCTAGTAACCACAGTTGCTGGCCTCCTCCAGGTGCTGGACGAATCGCTGTGCTCGCTGTCTTTGAGTCAGGAAGCGTCTTCCCGTTCGATTGGTTCACTAACACTGGAGGGTCGATACACGGCATCAAGTAGTCGGTTGCTTTAGCGCACACGACGCACACTGGCGTCCCATTTCCACCCGTCTGCGTACACCGCTCGCAGATCCAGTTACTTCTAAATATCGTAGCGGAAGATCCGATGTCCGAAATACAGCACTCCGGGTGGATGTATACATTGCAGTACTGGCAACGTATCATAAACTGCCTTCGATGCAGCATATTGACGTCCGTGAGCTCACCAACCAGAGGTGCGCAGTATTCGAAGCACGCAGAGCATACCGTCATGTCAGTCCAATCTGTCGCAGTAGGGTCCATATCGGTCACACTTAACTTGTTCTCAGCAGATAGCACGGCCTGGACAATGGATCCGGACAGCAACGAAGACGCGTCGTCTGTCTGTTTCTTTGCGCCGCTGCTGTAGTTGTCCTTGCTTCTCATTACAAAGTACGAATCGATACGGAATCGCGCGCGTCGACGTCGCTGAGCATGCTGTTCTGACGCAGGATAATGCTTGGGCAAGTGTCTCGAGCAGAACATCTGGAACTTCAAACCTGCTCCGCCACCAGCGTACATGTATCTCTCGTCTCCAAGCGAAATCGTCATGGGCAGACCCTCAAACCAACCGCAAAGTGGATGAAAGGATGTTGAACATTCCGAATGGCAGCACTGAATCGTACGTCCACAAGCGACTCTGCAGTGGACACACAGACTCCCCAACTCAATGGCAGGTACCTCAGGGTCGCTGCTTTTAGGAGTACTATGTTGCACGTTCGATGCCTGATCGATACGTGCATCAATCTCTGCGACTGAGTTCAAGAACCGCACTTGGTTCGTGGTTCCAACCAGACTAATCTCCGAAAGCTCGAACAGGTTACCGATCCAAACTTTCGGACACCACAGCGCACACACTACATGGACCCATTTCCCATCAACGGTACGTTTGAACGCGCCGTCACTCAAAGAACAGAGTTGGCAGAAGACATCTCTGGCCGGATCCAGTCCTTCTCGCGTAGCTCGACAGCGATCGCAGATAAACTCATTGCTAGGCACTTTAGCCATTCCATAACAGCGCTGGTGAACCGCCAGCTCGCATCGATCGCAGAAAATAATCGGATTCGTTTCGGGCGACTGACCATCGAAGCACACGACGCAGGTTCCGTCATCGATCGCGTCATCCTCGTCTTCTGTTGATCCCTCCTGTTCGTCACTTTCGGTTGCTTTCTTGTCATCTTTTTCAGGTTGATCGCCACTCTTGTAGCCGATTAATAAGCTCGAGCACAGTCGTTTCCAGGCTGCAAACTCGCGATAGTACATGTCTGTTGTCTGTGCTTTGAGTTGAAACGCGCTTTCGTTGCCCTCCTCGCCTTTCAGTATCTTGTATAAACTGCGAATACGAATGCGGTTTTGCTCCGTCGTGTTTTTGAGATGCTCCATGAGAAGGTTGATCGCAGGCGTAAATTCATCGGTCAATGGAGAGTCGGCAGGAGCAGATACAATACTAAGAGCTTGCGTATGACTCTCGAGAGTTTTCTCCAGCAGCGCGTTCTCCACTTGATCACAGGAATCGAGAGAAATCAGCAACTTATCACCCTTACCCAAAGGAACTTTCTTCGTCTGCATGTCAAAGCCAGCCAAGGTCGACACAGCGTCATGCTGGAAAGAGATCGCAAATGTCCCGTTATCTGCTGCGTGCTGATTCATAGCTTCGCCATCCCGTGAAACCAGCATTGAGTACTTGCAATCCACTGTGGTGTTCTCTCCATTCTTAAACTGTACATGCATGCTAGCTTCAGCGCCGTCTGGAACATGCATTAAGCCAGTACCAGCGTCCTGATCGACCGGCTTCGTGCACTCGGGGTTATGACGTATCTCAATCATCGGCTTTGCCAGGGGATCGCTCAGACAGCGACAGTGGCTGGCTCGCATAAATAAATCGCATTTGTGAGTGCACTTTTGCAGCACAAGGGACTGCGTTGGGTCCTCTGCATTGCGTTCCAACCGCACCGTGTCTCGACAGTGAATATCCGACGTTTGCAGAACCTTTCGACGCTTGAGAATATCCTCCAGCTTGACACCACACAAACTCTTGCACAGTTGCCCCATTCGTTTCTTCTCCAGCACACTACTATTGTAAAAATGGTTCTCCACCACCTTCCAGAAGTACGTCGAGTCCATGGGCGCTCCACTGTTCTGTCCAGGCCAAGAGGCGAACAAAACGTCCGACATGTCTGCTACCTCCACGTCCTCCTGAATGCCGTTACGCGGGGACATTTTGCGCTTCATGGCGTGCTTACTTTTCGGACAGCTATTCCTCATATGGCCCATCATGAGCGTTTCTCGTATGTGCTCTCCACACTCTGGACATGGGCGCATCGGCGTTTCCTGTCGTTTAAACTTACCGTTGGCCTCTCTGGTGTTCTTACGAGCATTGGGACTGCTCCTGTTCCTCTTTCCTTTCTTCGCTGGCGACTTTTCATTGTCCTTGTACACAATTTCCACAGGTTTCACGCCCAGTCGGTTCAATTCTTGCTTTCTCTTGTTCACATCAGAGCGAGTCATCCATCCCAGTAGACATTGCGTCTCGTGCGCCTCTTTATTGGGCAAAGTGACTTTATTGCCGCAGAATCGGCACTTGGGTTCGGTCGTGGACGGATGTTCGTCCTCGTATTTCTTTACTTCTGGCAGTGCACGCCACGAATTGTCCACCATCTCGTACTTGGTAGTGTCCACGTCGGATAGATGTGTTTTGCAGTGATACACCTGTTGATTTTGAGCATTGTAGCCCGTGAAGACGAGGCTGGAAGGAGAACGGAAGGCGCATACGACGTGGAAGGCCTTGGCGCAGCGGCCACTGACGCACTGGATGCAGCCGCCGCGTACACCGCAGATCCCACAGCGGAGTGTACTGCGGCTTTTATCGTACAGTGAGATCTGTACGGCCTCATCCATGACGCCCGTCAAGCTGTGGTACAGCTCTGGGATCCAATTGATACACAATACGTGGCACCAGACGTCGCTCTGATCTGTTAGCCGCAGCGCGCCGCCTGCGATGGGGCACACGGCACACTGAGGCGTCGGACGTGGTGATGGAGCCGAGGTGACGTGCTCACAGGCCTGACAGAGCCACGAGGACGCGCTGTCGCTATCGATACTCACGCCGTAACATTTGACGTGCACGCGGATGGAGCAGCGCACGCACCGGACGAGAAGCGTCCCTTGGTAGTCATCCAAACTCATGCAGATGCAGCAGGGATCGGGCGGAGACGCATCGGAAGCGCCGATAATGGAAGACATGATGAAGAGATCACTTGCCGACCTGGTAGGTTTCCCCGCGCCAAGTCCACGAGTGACGGTGGGTCGGACTTAAGGATTACTTTTAGAGAAACAAAGATCGATTAAGTACGAATTCGTACTTAATTGAAATAAAATAAAAATATTTCATCCTTTAAACCCAATTATTCTTTTTTAAAATTTAAAATTCCATTACAATTATGGAAAACACGTATTTTTTGGTCCCAAAAAAATCGTTTTTGGGTCGTCGATTTGTTATTTAATGTAATTTTGTAAGCTCACTGTGTTTTCAAAAATCCTATTGTGTACCGGTATCTAAGGTATTGGGCCAGTAACATGTCAAATTTGCAAGTCTTAAATTCATATCAATATACATTTTCACTAAAATGCCAATCCAGCGATAAATTTCTCATGAAAAGTGCTCTTTTTGGATAATTTCATGCACAGAACGCTGTAATCCTTCATGATATGAGGCACAGATGGCTCTGCTTTGAAGACATTTTCATTAAAAAAAAAAAGGGGGGGGGGGGGGGGCTCCGCTTTTATTTATAAGTTGTAAGAAGGCAAATTCATTAAGTCTTACCCATTTCAAATGGATTTGCTAAAATATAAATATACAATAGAAAGCATAATTTTGAAAAAATTGGAGATCTGATGGGCTAAACCTAGAGGCACATGACTTGTCGAGTGCACGTAAATGGTACATTACCTTAACTAGCCGAGCGCCGCCGCTTCGCGGTGGGTTTATGTTAAGCCGCAGATGTCCGTCCTGCCCGCCTCCGCTTCGCTTCGTCGGGTTTTATTTCTCTATACAAAACCCTTTTTAATATTTTAATAACCGTACAGGGGGCCAAATGGTTAAATAAATACTAAAAAATGTCAGGACAGTGCAGCTCTCATCCACGTATGCCGAAGGGGCTGTGGCCAATGGGCAAGCGTGTGCACTCGTCAATCAATACGGAAGGCCGAAACCCCCAGAGCACATCCATCCTGGTGCAGGGGGCCCCACCCAACCCACCAGGATAAGTTTACCCCTCTAACATCGCTTCAGGGCTTCGGGAAGCCCCGCCGTAGCGGGAAGCCACAGGAAACTTGGAAATACATGCAAACTCGTATGAAATAAGCAGCGCACCTTGTCCTTGTTGCCTTTTCCGGCCTCCAGTTCGCGCCAAAAGTGAGAATGTGAGCTTTTCAGCGAATCATAGCCAGCATAACATTTCGACCAATTAAAAAATGTTTCTTATCCATTTCGACCAATCAAAACATTTCATTGAGCTTTATTTTTTTGCTTGCGCTTGTGGGGGCGGCGACGGTGAGTGCGGTGATGACCTCGGCGCTCCGGGGCCGGTCCCATCAGATCCTGCACAGCGTCAGCACTGCGTTGGCGGCGCGCAAGAACGTGGGGGGGGGGGGGACGCGCGCGCGTCGTGCGTTTTCGTTGCGCCGTCAGAAGAGATAATTATTTGGCGAGGCCTCGCAGGAACGGCATCTGCGTGCATCTTCGCGAGCGTTCACGTTCGGGAACGCCACCCACAGCAAGCGGATGCGGCAGCATGCACACCGGGCGCGTGCCGCATCTGACTTCCACGACTGCACGATGCCCGTGCACGTTGGCGCGGCACACCCGACATACACGGGGCGGCACTTGGTCTTGGTCGTCGCTTGACATTGGCAAATTAAACGCAGTGCCGACTAACCATTAAAATAGTGGCGAATTTTGTAATTATCAGTCTATTTCTGCAATTTTGGATAGTGTGACACTTTAAGCCGACGACGCTCCAATCGATGTTTAGGATACGTATTCTGATTGATTCCTTCAATTTGTCACTCTATTCCAGCTTCAGCCAAAACTTTGATGCAAGCGTGATTTTTCTCCCGCTTCACTCGCTCAGTTTGCGTCTCGCGTATGTCTTCACGTTGTGGTCGGACTTAGAGCAGCTGCTACAGTATATTGGAGAGTCTTGGTTGATGTACTCGGAGTGAATTACACTATTTGTGTGCTGAGGCGTCCGAATCGGACGGGTAGGATACAGAGGACATCATGCTACCAGTCGATTGATTGTCGTCGCAGTTCTCCGGGTTTGGAAGTTTTCAAGGGCATGAAGTCGTGCTCGCGCTGGGCCGACAGGTTGCCGGGTGTCTGGCCCGCTGGTAGATACTCGACTAATTCGAGAGTCACTGGGGCCAGTGCAGGCGTTCGTGGAGGTGCCGCTGTGGAGGTATGTCAAGTTGCAACGTTTTTGAACGCGAACAGATTCTGTGCGGTCACCGGTGTCTGCAACAACGCTCTTACAGAGGGTCTGGCCCTCGAAATCGCACGAAACGGTCTCATTGGGTTTCTATGACTTGTCATCATCGAGAGTACCCCGCCCGGGGAGGTTATCGACCAGTATCTCGGTGATATCGAGCTCTCCGGTCCTCCCTGTAAAATGCACGTGCAAACGAGGGCTACCCATGCAGTTGAAGACGTTGACAATGGGACAAAGTTATTGGGGATCGACGCCATTGTTGCAGGAGGGCTGCTGGGGTTGATCAATCACTCATGCAACCCGACTGCGCGTTTCCACAAAGTGCAAACCGGTGGAAATCCGACGGTGGTTGCCGTCTCTGTACGCGAAGTCCAGCTAAGCGAAGAAGTCGCTGTTTCCAATGGAGATTGCCTGTTGTTGCTATACAAGTGGGGATAAGTGGGATGCCAACATCGCTACTTCCAGCACTGGCGAGCTCACCGTCAGCGTCACCCTAACATCGTGCGCTCCAGAGTCCATAATAATGTGGCGCTTGCATGAGTTCATGTATCTTGTTTGCTTTACATGTAGCTCAATTTGCTACGCGGCCAAAAGATTGGATGATGCTGACTGCCAAAACGAAGTTGTTTCTTCATCTACTCATAATGCTAAGTATTATATATTTATTAAGAGCTTGGCATGACGGACATCAACATTAGATTTTTTCTTGCTGCCATTCGATATTCATCTCCTCGGACCGCAGGCATCGGACTACCATGGTCCGTCAAGCTTTGCATGCCTACTATATTTGTGATTGCGACCTTTAACGAAGCCTGTATCACCTGGAGAGCCTTCACTATCAATTTTACTAGCAATTGAAGAACATTTAAACACTGGAGATGTCGAGATAAAGCAATTACATTACCAAAGCTCACTGTTACTATGCTTAAACTACTTGGCCCCTGTTTCACAGCTCGGGCGCAGGAATGCTACCAAAGCGTCAATGCCGATGAGCAGATGCTTTTGTGCCCTGTCGTCGACAATTAATACTATTATCCAATTTGAGCTGGAGCCGTTGGGTCGCAACATCTAGGAAAAAGTGGCCTCTCAGTACAATGTCAAATGCGAAAGGACCTCTCAAGCGCGCGACTATGTGTCACTGCGTCGAAAGTCTAGGACCCTGTAGTCGGAGCCTAAGTCAAGCCGTTACAACGGAGAGATACATATGCACGTAAGGTCCATTGTCCTACCGCAAGAGACCCAGCAAGGTCTGGAGGAGCGCGTTGGTAACCATACCCTGGACGACGGTTTCGATGCCGGTGAGAAGACGAGGTCTAGCGTCGCGACGAGGAAGCGCTGGGGTCAGGCGATACGGGCGAATTCGAGCCGGAGTCCGAGGAGCCTCCTCGAAGTGTTCCAGAGAAGTGAGGTAGAGTACGTTTCTAAAAATGAGAAGATAGAACATTATGGACTGGCACTATTCTGGATTAGGGACACTGTCGCCCTGGATATGGGAATGTTGCAGTAGATACACCGGAGAGAGATGGATTGGGACGAAGTCCGCTGCGATATGACAACTCCGACTGACAATGATGTTTGAATGACGTATATCAAGACGTGACGAGGAGGGATCCAGAGAGCTCAAGATCTCGCACTACCAAGCCGAAGTCGACGATATAAGAGGATGAACTTTGAGAATCCTGGGCTTGAGCGACTAGATCGGAGCGATTGGGCTAAGCACCACGGGAATGAAGATCGCGAGAACGTGGAGTACCCGACCAGAGCCAAGAATTACGGATCTGAACATGGTGAAACGGAATTTTGCCAATCCAACGTCCGACAGCCTCGACCGTGGACTCTCGAGTATGGACGTTCGGATCCTGCGGATCTCGGATGGCAAGATTGGGATGGCCCACGTGTCGAAGAGCATGATAAATACCTGTGGAAGTTGGATCAAGACGGATCCTCCCTTGACATACCAAGATCGTCAGGATCTGGAGTATGCGTGTCATGATTGGGAGAGATCCGCTGCGTTCCCGCCATAAGACGAAGACTACGCTACAGAGCGATCAAGATCCGATATGAAGGACAGCTGGGCGACGAATATCAACAAGGAAGAGCAGGTACATAGCGGAAGATGAAAGATCTAAAGGTAGAAACAGTTGGTGTATATGACCTACCTATAAATTTTGACTCGAATTTGTGTTGTATTATACAAGTGCCTTCGTGCCCTCAAGATCTGGAACGACATTGACCGCACAAAATCGGGGAAGGTTGGGAATCACAGATTTGATCTTGGTTGTGATACCTAGATATAGTATTGGCCAGATCACACCACCTAGTGAACGTTCCCTTACATGTGCAGATCAATCCGGTTAACCAGATTTACTGCTTGGCCGGAAGTACCTATCGACCCTCAACTATCAAGATCCAGCGATAGGAAGGTGGCAGGAGATTATAGACACTGAAACGAGAAAACACAAGCAGATCAAGGGAAACGAAACCGTTCGCTGTATTGATCTCCTAGTGGCACGTATGTTGTACCCTCACACTCGACGACTGACAGATCTCTGGGCAACGCCAACAGCACGTTCTGTTCCTATCGGTACTTTTGGTAGCTACGTGTCGAAGTCGCGCTTCGGTCGAATCATGCAGAACTTGCACTTCTCCGAAACTCCGACCCACAGGCCGATACAGTCAGAGCATGGAAGGTGAGACCAGTGGTCCAGAAGTTGCAGCAGACATTCCGTGCAGGCTATAACGTACCTCCAGTAATGGCGATCGATGAGGCGGTGGTCCCTTCGCGCAGCCGGCACAACGTGACGCATCGGTACCTGAAGCACAAGCCCCACAAATGAGGCCATGACGTGCTGTGTCGAGACTGCGTATTGCTTGCGGTACGTGGTGCATGCAGCTCGTGTGTGGTGCAGAAGTATCGCGGCTCCAAGATGGAGTTTGCGATATGTTTTTTCGGCTTAGTTAAACATGTTGTCTTACAAACATGCTGTTTATATGGCATGCTAGGCTGGCGGTCTATTGTGGAAAGGCCCAACACGAAAGTGAACTAGGAGGCGACTCCCCAACTAAGATCTTTGCTGATCCAAACTCCGATCCATCTGCAGTGGTGCGCAACCTCGACGAAGTCCTGCCACCTCCGGAGCCCGATTTAGACTTCACTGTTGTGACAGATTGCTTCTACACGTCAGTGAGGCTTGCTTTGCTGCCGTTGAGTTGCAATGTATACAGCATTGTCACCATTCAGTCGAACATGGAAAGGAAGTGGCTACACCGCACGCTACGTATTTTTCTGACGTGCCACGTGGATCAACGAAGGTGGCTGTGCTGAAGAGTATACCCCATATGACAGCGCCTCTTTGGTGGGATCGGTAGCCAGTCTAGTTCCTTGTTACTGGAGGCAGTAGAGCAATGAAGACTTGCGGTAGGTAGAGTTGTGGCCCAGATTACTGCAGGCGCAAAATACTTGGGTTTTGTATGTGTATGAAATATATATTTTCCAGAGAGACGACTGCTTGGAGGGACGAAAGTCGTCGCTCCGTGCCCACCCATGATACGCGATTATCACCGCTAGATGGGTGGGGCGAAATACACGACCAACTGCTTCTTCAGCGATACTCGCTGCAACTCTCGGTCGTCTTTAGAAAATATTATAAGACCATTTTCCTCGGTCTGGTTGATATGACCATTGTGAACACGTTCATCATCTACCGTGAGGCTTGCAAGCAGCGAAACGAGCCCCCAGCAGACCCTGCCATGTTCTTGCGGCACCTGCAGGAACAGAGGTTGGAGCTGACGGCCAGTAACTTCGCCGATGTAGTGCGAGTCCATGAGGTGCTAAAACCAATGCTTGCTACTAACCGCTCGTGAATATGTGATAGATTCTTTCCCTTACAGCCTCCGTACAGACCGAGACGCTAGGATCCAACTCCACCGAGCACAAACTCACTATGTTCCAAGATTGGAACCAGTTTGGTGATCAGAAGCAGCATCCCAAACAACCGCAGCACCAATGCAAGGTTTGCTCAATCTGAAAGCGCAAGGTCAGCGGGCGATGTGCTAGCTGCATTTACTGAGCAGCCTGTAGCAAGGGCAATAGCGGTAAGTACTCTTGTTAGCCTATTTGTATGCTGAGAAGCTACCCTTGGTGTTGTTGCCTGTGTAGCGTCTACCTGTGTGACCGCCTCCGACCAAACCACTACCCATATAACACGCTTACGTGTTTCCAGATCTGGCACTCTAAATGGAAGAATGGAAGTGAACGTCCGCGCCCTCTCGTCCGCCGCAACATTCAATTGAGAGGACTGAGGAAGAAGTCCATTGCATACTACGTGCATCGTTTTGCGCATAGACTAAATCTTGCAATTGTCTCTGCATCAAAAACGACATTATCGGTAGCGGAACTGTTTGATGTGATACAAAACATTCACACAACGTGCAACGTCTAAGTTTGATGGACTCGGCAAAAAACAAAAAGAGGTTTTAATCCAAGAAGGTGGGCTGCAAACAGGAAAGGGGCTGACCCAACCGCTTAACACAGAGGCACTTTGCGTTACAAGATGGAACTGTAGAGTACGGGCGCTTCTTCGTGTTCGCTGGCTATGGAATTCGATTATTAACATATTGAATCTCGTGGCCAAGGACGCATCCAACTTTCATAAAGAGCGGACGCAATGGAATTTCGACCAAAATGAGTACTTTTGATTTTGTTTCCTACATGGAGGTCCTAATTCTAGTTCTTAAAAACAAATATAATATCTCAGAATCTCCAGAAAAAATGATATGGATATTGCATCGGCAGCTCGGCTGGTGAAACAGATTCAGCTGAATTTGAAACAATGACTTCGACAAATGTAAACAAAATGGTAATCCAGATGGCTTCACCGCAACCTGGACGAAGGCAACTACTTTTTGTAGTTCTGTGTCTACCGATAGACGCATATTTGTTCCTTTTAAGACTGATTCATGGTCGAGAAGAGGTCACAGAAACAGAGAAAAAGGGAAGCCCAACATTCCTGGTGCAGATACTTCAGAGAAACGCTCATTTTTTTTTCACGATGTATATCTGGAAAGTTGTTAAGAACATAGCGGCTGAGTTGAAACGACGAGTTGGTGCCGATATGCTCCATTTACTGGAATTGTGGAGGTATAAGTCCTAGAAACAACTTCACGAACTAGAATCCAGATTCGATCTGCAGAATCGCTAGTGATCGTTATCCAGATGATTTTAAGAGACAACTACCATCAGTAAGAAAACAACCTGCAAAATTTGGGGAGATGGCACGAGTGGATACGAGATTTCAAAATCAAAACTATTAACGATCTCAGCACTGCAATCATGTCTGCTGGTATGAACAGGATCTTTCCGATTCTATATCGAGTCGTCCAGCTCGTTTGAGTCCTACCGTATCTACTGCAAGTACCGAGCGCTCATTTTCTACAATGAAACGCGTGAAAACACGACTGAGGACCACCTTGAACGACGAGTGGGTATCGGACCTCTTGATTCTGGCACTCGAACGCGATTTATCTACAGATATTGATCGTGATGAGACCATCGATAGTGTGACGGGCTATTGTCACACAAGCAGCTACCGTGTCACCACGGTAGTCAATCAGTACACCACTGGTTGGCGCGGTCTCACGTTTCGAGACCGCGCCGTTAACTACGAATCTTAGAGTTAAATCTTCCAGCTTCCTCACGACCCGTTACACCTGGTAGCACTTAGTACCCCGTCCAACAACCAAGATGAACAACGCGTCCAAGATGACCAGCACGTCCCTCGAGCATGCCAGCTTCCCTAATCTTTCTTCGATCGAATGGGAGGCGCTACATCGCCTGACCGCCGCGTCCAGCAAGGCTGTCATCCAGACGCTGCTGACGGCTGGCTCGGAAGCCCAACAACGCGTGGCCGCTCAGGAGTTCGTGGCGCGTGAACTCGCTGATCTTCGTCAGCGGGTGTCGACTCCCACGCCCACCAAGAGCAAGTCCGACATCGTCAAACTCGATGTCTCCACGTACAGTGGTGAAGGTGGTGACTGCCTTCATCTCAACCGGTGGTTCTGCGAAGTGGACATAGCTGTCGAAACTCGGCAGTTGTCTACCGATCTAGCCCGGACGCGCTTTCTCCAAACTGACGGAGAGAGCGAAGGAATGGGCGCTCGGCGAGTTCGTTACCAACGCCTCCTGCTTCTCCACCACGGAGACGATGAAGGCCGACCTGCGGCTCGCGTTCGAGCCACCCCGAGACGAGAGGGTTCAACGCTCGGCCTTCCTGTCGCTCAAGCAGTGCGCAATTGACCGTACTCGAGTACATCCAGCGCGCGCGAAATCTCATCTCATACGTCACCTCCTACCCGTGGACATGGCGAGGCAGGTCGATGTCTTCGTCTCCGGCATCAAAACTGGATACCAGCGCTTCTACTTGACGAGAAAGACCCCTGCGACTCTCGAAGAAGCGTTTTTCGTGGCACTTCGAGAAGACTACAGCGTGGCCGCTTCGCAAGCATTCGACTCCTCTCGAGCCCCAGCACCTGAACTGGAGCCGGAGCCAAAGGAGATTGACGCTATCCGGCACTACAATGGGCGACGTGCCATGCCGACATCGACGCGCCAGATGAAATGCTTCCGCTGTCGTAAACGCGGTCATTTCGCGGCTGTGTGTCATGCCCCGGCGCCCGTGTTTGCGAACGTCTCCATCGGGACTGACGTCGCCGCTCCAAAAAACGGCGACAACCAGTAGGTGCGGGGCGCCCTACTGGCCGTGAAAGGAGAGATGGATCCCTGGTGACGGATCCCCCTCCTAGCCCTCCAGTGGTTCATGCACAGTTTTTTGCCACCACTTCTGACAGCAATTCGAGACTGATTGTCGAGCGATGGTCCTTCATGTGCAGCGTGTGAGCGCGCAACATGTGCACACCCTGAGTTTGGCCCTCGAGGCGAACCCGACACGTGTCCTGATGAGCAGCGGCTCTCGAGTAAACAAGATGTGAGTGAGCATGGTCTCTCACACGCGTTCGTAGCTGAGCTCCCGCATGTGGTCGAGCGGGAGCTCCCTGGAAGACTCGATACGGTCGAGACGTGTATCCCGTATCTGGACGCCGAATCGGTCAATCGGCGTCGCGATTCGACAGACATGGCCGAGCATGGGCTCTTATCTCCTGTCTTGCAGGACGAACAACGTCCGGTGCCGTCGTGGTAGTCGAACACCACGACGGTCACGTGTTTTTCAACTGCCTCTGTTGATCCGGAGTCTGAAACCATATCCGTTATGGTGGGAGATGCCTGTGATCGTCCAGCACGCTTGTTCAAACTCGAGGTCGCACGCCCTCCGTGCGACGCCGACGCTATCACCAATCTTCCCGGCTTGTCGTGGAAACATTTCCTCCGCGACCTGAAACACGGCGAGGTTGACCAATTGTGTATGCTTGTGGCAGAGGACGCCGCATCCATCGCGGCTATCATGTTGGTTCTGCGGACTCAGCGTCCGATCCGCGATATCGTTCCAAAGGGGCCGAACCCAAAAGCGCTCGCGAAGTACGGTATGCGGCTCAGTCGTTGCCGGCTCTCCAAGCGTCTGGCATCCCTGCGGTCTCCCTAGTCCAGGAATTTATCGATATCTTCCCTGACAAGGTCCCAGCCGCCATGCCCCCAGATCGCGGCTTACGGCACAAAATCGACCTCGTGCCCGGATCGAAGTACTGCGTGACTTGACAGTGGCCCCTTCCCCGCGACCAAGTTGAAGCAATTGACGCCTACTTTGAAAGTCGCCGGCAAGCCGGCTACGTTCGCGAAACCCCATTCCAGCCCTACCTTCTGCGTTAAGCGACGGGCGAATGGAGAATTGGCCACACTTTCAACAAGCTCAACGGTGCCACGATCTCGGCGCAGACGCCGATTCCCCGCAAGGACATGGTGCTCGACACCATGTCGGGCAGCACCATTTACAGCGATTGATCTGCTGGACGGCTTCTATCAGATTCTGATGCGAGAAGACGACGTCCCGCTGACCGCTGTCAACACGCCCAGCGGAATGCTTTGGGAATGGATCGTGGTGCCGCAGGGGCTCAAAATGCCCCGGTCATCTTCAACGGAATGGTGTCCAATCGTCTGCGCCCGTATCGCGACTTCGCACCCAGCTACTTCGACGACATCTTCTTTCATAGTCATGCCGAGGACGACATGACCGACATCGAGGTCCACCTTCGGCACCTCCGCAAGGTGTTCTAAATGATGCGCGAGAACAAGCTGTATGCAAACTTGAAGAGGTACATCTTCAGCGCTCCTGAGATCCCGGTACTCGGGAGCTATGCCAGCAAGGTAGGGGTCCGCGCAGACTCAGAGAAGATTGCGGCCATGTGATTGGCCAGCTCGGCAGGACCAGAAGCAGCTGAGGCAGTGGCTCGGGCTCGCCACATACCTCCACCACTACGCGAAGAACTTCGCCGAGACCGTCCACCCGCTGTCGCAGCCCCTCAAGGCCGACGCCACATGGACATGGCGTCCTGAGCACCAGTCGGCATTCGACACGGGGAAGGCGAGCTTGTCCACCGCGCTTGTAACGGAGTTACACGCAAGTGGCTACATGTAGCCACTTGATTACGACAATGGGTTTCACGTTGGTGTGAGATATTCCAATGGTTACATTTGACAGACCACTGGTCTGTGTGCATTTAGACTTCCTATTGGTTGAAAGGCGACCTCTTTCAACCAATTAGCTTAGCAGGATTCTGCCAACCACTCGTTGGCAAACACCTTTCATTTAGACTATCCCTTTAGGAGGAAACCCAAACACAAAACAAAAACATAAATAACAGTTCTCCATTTTACGGTAAATCGGCTTTGGTTTCTTATTTAAGTAAATATATACTTACGAGTCGTAAGTATAGTTAATCTAAGTTTAAACAAACTACGCTTCCTCATACACGTGCGCTGATGTGTACGCCGAAGTAGTGGGCACACAGTGAGCCCATTACAGCCCCCGTTCTCATGCTCCCTGATCACTCGAAGCCGTTCCACGTCGTTTGCGATGCAAGCGACTACGCCACTGGGTGCGTCTTGATGCAGTTCGGCAATGGAGGGCGCGAACGAGTTATCAGCTACTAGTCTCGCCAGCTGAAGCCGGCGGAGCGCAACTACCCCGTCCGTGATAAGGAGCTCCTAGCCATGCGCTACGCACTCATCAAGTTTCGCGTGTACCTGTTGGACGAGCAGACCTTCGCCATCTACACCGACCACGCTTCGCTACGGACGGCGACCAAGAGCCCGCACCTATCCCACCGTATGGCGCGATGGCTTTCCCTCTTCTCCGAGAACAACTTTGTCGTTCGCTACAAACCTGTCAAGACCAACATCCTCGCCGACGCGTTGTCGCGTCGGCCGGACTACGCGCAGTCGGGTCGCCATGCAGTTGGCGACGAGGGCGACGACGAGTGTGCCGTGTGCACAGCCGAAGAACTCGCTGCGGTTGCAGTCGCCGCGAGCAGCCCTCCCCGCGACATGATAGCGACCGCGTACGAGTCCGACGCGGCATGCATGGAGATGATCAAGTATCTGCAAAACCCGTCCGACTCGACACGGCGACGTTTGTCAACGTGTACCCGTTCTCGCGTCGACCGACACGGCCTTGATGGTGATCTACTGACTGACCAAGTTGATCGTGACGACCCACGACGCATCGTCGTTCCGCTCGACGACGAACTTTGAGCTCGTCTCATTCACGAGTTCCACGATTCTCCCAGTAGTGGCCATCTTGGACACGAGAAGACGGTCGCGTCACTCTCGAGAGCCATCTACTGGCCGCACACGCACCAATGTGTGCACAAATGGGTACGCTACTGCGAAGCGTGTCAATGCGTGAAGCCCTCGCATTCGAAGCAAGCGCCACTTCGTTCACTCGAAGTGGCTGCTGCGCCGTAGTCGTCCGTCGGCACGGACTTCGTCTTCGGCCTTCACCGTGATGCGCAAGGGCGTCCGGGAATTTGTGGTGAAGCGACAGTTGGCTTTTACGAACAAGAAGCTGAGTGATGGGAAGTGACCCGATCCAGCCCTGAGACTCGTGGTCGACGACGGTGCATCAGTGATTACGTCATCATCTGTGAGGATTACGTAATCATCGGAGTGGATCGAGATGATGCAATCATTTGGATACATGATCTACCGACAAGGACTCGATCTACTGTTGACATATCAACTGATTTTGACTCATGGTAAGTACCACGCGACCAGGCTTCAGAGGGGATAGAAAGGACATCACAGGATGGGTAGAAAGTATTGGACCGCTAGGACTTAAAGGAATAACAGAGTGGAATTTGCCTTATCAAGAACAAGTGTCTTCGGTTCAAGATTAGAAGGCTGTAGCGGGAAGTATATTGGCCCATACAGTACTCAAGTCATTCTACGAAGGGCACGCGTCAGTCGCCGAAGTTAGCAGCTTGGCCGGTCGATCGTCTCCGCTCTCGCCCTCAACTCCCCCGCTATAGGAAGCGGTCAA